GCACTTTAATGGCAAAAATTTTGTATCTTTGATGGCAAATTATGATTACCAGTATTGGGGCGTAGCTTGGCTCAATAATGGCACATTCATGGCAAAGTTGATCAATCTTTAATGGCAATATTCAATTGCCAGTGATGTGACGAAGATCGGCCTATTAATGGCACATTAGTGGCACTTTAATGGAAAACATTTTGTGGCAAATTATAATTGCCAGAATTGGGACGTACCTTGGCTCAGGAATGCCATATTAATGTCTATCATTTTGTATCTATGATGGTAAATTATAATTGCCAATATTGGGACGTAGCTCGGCCCAATAATGGCACAGTATCGGCCAGTGTAGTATAGCTTATAAGAACCCTTTTGCTTCCTCGACTTCACGTCAGAGTAGCAGAGTGGTCAGAGTGTTAGGCTTTGGTGCGTCAGGTTCAGGTATCGATCCCCGCGAGCGGTAAGAATTTTTCAAATATTTGTAAGTTTGCGATTAATTCAGGGAAATAAACTGTATAAATATTATGAATTAATTAGTTAGTTAAATAAAAAATATATTTTTTTTAAATTTTTTCAACACTGGGGAGTAATGGCAGCCAATAATGGGCCATTAATGTTTACCGAGAATCGGCCGATGATTGGCTGCCGACGGCCTACCGCGGTTAACCTCCCGACAGTCGGGCCACTATTGTCTGCCAAGAGTAGGCACTGACTATGCCGTCACTGGGCCAGTTTTGGGCTGTTTTTAATTTCGCACTTGGGAATAAGTAAATACACAAGTAAATAAATAATTTCCCTTACAACACAGACAGCGCAGCATTAGCGAGTGAGGTACTTACGTATATTTAAAAAAATTTCAACAGACACTACGTGCATCAACGAATCTTAAAAAATTCAGCAATTTATATTATCAATCGTTTATTAAATCTATATATGTGATTTGTGTATATGTAGCAGTTTATATCTGCACATGAGTCAGTATACATGTGTATATAATTTATGTACATGTGTGAGTATACATGTACATGTGATTAGTGTATATGTTGAGTATACATGTGTGGGTGAATTGCGCGCATGCTTGATATTCATAGAACACTACTGCACATGCCTGATATTCATAGAACACTGCTGCGCATTCCTGACATTGATAGAACACTACTGCGCATGCCTGATATTCATAGAACACTACTGCGCATGCCTGATATTCATAGAACACTACTGCGCAGGCCTGACATTGATAGAACACTATTGCGCATGCGTGACATTGATAGAAAACTACTGCGCATGCCTGATATTCATAGAACACTACTGCGCATGCGTAACATTGATAGAACACTACTTCGCATGCCTGACATTGATAGAACACTACTGCGCATGCGTGACATTGATAGAAAACTACTGCGCATACGTGACATTGATATAACACTACTGCGCATGTGTAACATTGATAGAACATTACTGCGCATGCGTAATATTGATAGAACCCTACTGCGCATGCGTGACATTGATAGAACACTACTGCGCATGCGTGACATTCATGAAATACTACTGCGCATGCGTGACATGACATGTATGTGTTTTGTGTATATGTGTAACATTCATGGGTATGTGTTTTTTGGATATATGTGAGTGAAGTATTTTCAAAGATAGTTAGACAGAATAGAAAGAGGTGTGAGTCGGTCGGTCGGTCGGTCGGTCGGTCGTACATTAACTTAATATAATATAGAGGATTTTTGTAAAATAATTTATTTTAAGAAAAAAAATTAATTTCTTTAGAGGAATTTTGTTAACATTATATTTAAAATAATTGAATTCGTATAAAGGATTGTATCAAAATTTTTTAAAATAATTGAATTTCTGCTAAGTATTTTATTATTAACAAAAATAAAAAATTCAAGAATCTTTCAAGAATTATTATTAAAATTTTTAAAAATAACTAAAGAAATTTTATTAAAAATAGCATTGAAAATAATTAAATCCTAACAAGAATTTTATTAATTTTAAATTAATTTTATTATTTTTGTAAAATAATTTAATTTTTTTTAGGAAAACTAAAATTCTTTACAGGAATTTCATTAAAATTGTACTTAAAATAATTTAATTCTCAACATTTTTGAAAATAATTGAATTCTTTCCAGGATTTTCATTTAAATTGTATTAAAAATAATTAAATTCTTACGAAGAATTGTATCATTATTTACAGAAGTAATTGAATTTTTGAGAAGAATTTGATTAAAAATTTATAAAAAGAATTTATTAGCTTCGAAAAATGTTGTTAAAAACATGTATTAATTTATTATTTTTTTTTTTTAAGGAATTTAATTAAAATTATACTCAAAACTAATTGAATTTATCTAAAGAATTTTACCAAAATTTTTGAAAATAATTAAATTCTTTTAAGAAATTTTTTTACAATGTTAAAAAATAATTGGTTTGCATCAAGAAATTTTTTGAAATTTTATTGAAAATAATTGAATTCATCCAAAAAATTTTATTATTCATGAAAGGAATTGAATTTTTCCAAGAAATTTATTAAAATTGTTGAAAATAATTTGCTAATTGAATAATTATTAAATTCCATTAAGATATTATTTGAATTTCTATTGAAAATAATTGAATTTCTCCAGAAAATTGTATTATTTATGGAAATAATTGAATTTCTCCAAAAAAATAGAATTATTTCTGAAAATAATTGAATTTCTCCCAAGAATTGTATTATTTATGAAAATAATTGAATTTTTCGAAGAAATTTATTAAAATTTTTGAAAATAATTATTAAATTCCATTAAGATATTATTTGAATTTCTATTGAAAATAATTGAATTTCTCCAGAAAATTGTATTATTTATGGAAATAATTGAATTTCTCCAAAAAAATAGAATTATTTCTGAAAATAATTGAATTTCTCCCAAGAATTGTATTATTTATGAAAATAATTGAATTTTTCGAAGAAATTTATTAAAATTTTTGAAAATAATTTGCTCTGAAGAAAATAAAAATTCTTTCAAGGAATTTATTTATTTATTTTAAATATACAGACAAAAGCCAAATTTAGTTAAAATTGTATTGAAAAATGAAAATAATTGAATTCTTTCATGAAGAGGATTTACTATTTTACTTAATAAGTGAATATTATTGTAGCAATAATACAAAAACTAATAATAATCTTATTGTTATTATTTTTTTAAGTACTTATTTTTCCATTAATTATCATTTTTATATTTATATTTTAATTTATTTATTTCTATATTCACTAGAAAAAAATGTCTTCTTTTATATCAAGTTCAAAGGAAAAATCATTTTTTATTTTCAAGAATATTTTTTTTTTTTTGGTTTTTGAGTTTGAAAAATGTAAACGGTATGTGGAAATGAGTATATATTCAAATTTTCAGAGCATTATATATCTACTTTTCAAAGTAGTCGCGGAAAAGATAAAATTAGATCACTTTTATTTAGAGAGAGTCTCTCGAGAGACACACGAGCTCTTTTTGTTACAGAAGAAAGAACTTTTAGAAAAGAAACAGTTCGACACATGTCTTATTTTTTTCATATATATATATATATATATATATATATATATTTACACACCACCAAAATAGTGTTGTAATTTTTTTTATGACACAGTTTTTATATTTTTAAAATTATATTTTTCTCCTTTATAACGAAAGAATAAAAACTATACTTGAGAAGAAATTTAAAAGAAAAAAAACCGGATAAATTTATTTTTGAAAAAAAATTATTTCTGTACCTACATAATGGAACATATTATTCATTAAAAAAATGATTTAAAAAAAATTTTTCAAAAAAAAATTTGTCAACTTTTGTTAAATTGCATCTCATGTTGAAAACAAAAAATTTTGTTTTTAAAAATTTTTTCAATTTTTTACAAATTTTTTTGGATAACTAAAAATAAAATAGGGGGAGAAACTAAGTTTGCCGCGTATAATCCAAATTGAATTGAATAATTAATATAATATTATTAATGGTAATGTCAATAATTATCATTTTATTTAATTTGTAAAAAAAAGTTAATTTTTTTTCTTTGTAAGATCCTTTATATTCTAAAAATAAATATAATAAAATTTGTTATAATTTATAATTTACAATTGTTTAACAATAAAATTTGTTTTCCAATAGGTTTTTAATTATTATTATTATAAAAAAGTACTATTTGTACAAAAAGGCTTGTCCCGCTTATAAATAAATACAATTTTTTTGTTGTATTTGTTATTTTTCCTCTAATTATGAGATTAATTTTTTTAGGGTGTATTATTAATAATTATAAATTATATCATTACAATGATTTTAATAAAGAAATTTTTCAAACCATAAAGTTTCCTCATTTTTTTTTTCTTTTTCCGCGGGTAAAATTGTTAAAAAGTAAAAATATATTTTGTATACTGTCAATAAAAGAAACAGAAGTAAAAATGTACAGATGTTTGAAAAATATGATCAATAAAACATTGGTAATGGTTCACTTGACTCTCAACTTCCTCTAGACGGATGTTTCGGATTTGGGTCAGAACTGAAATAATTTAACGATGCCTGAAATACGCTCATAAGTCTCCAATTGAATTATCGATGTGTTATAATCACAGAAAATTTACACTTTCTTGTACATTACAAGAAAGTCCATTTTTTCTAGTTTTCAAACATAATTTTTTTTTTAATAAATACAAAATCAAATTTATCTAATATGGGAATTTATTATATTTAAATTTTTTTTAAATTTACAAGATTTTTTTACAACATTAAATGTTGTTTAATTTTTTTTTTAAATTTACAAAATATTAACATAATTTTGTAAGTCAAAAGAATTTTAATTAAGTAATATAAAAAATAATATAATAAGAATAGATAATTAATAATAAATTTAACATAAATATTAATTCAATAAAAATAAGTAAATAGCAAATAATTGAAACAATGAAATAAATTTATTTTACATTGATGAATAAATTGATCAAAATTATAGGAATAAATTAGTAAAAATTTGATTTTTTTTACAGGTAATATGGAGCAGTTTGAGCAACTGCTGACGTGTGCAATTTGCTTGGATCGTTATAGAAATCCAAAATTGCTGCCATGTCAACACAGTTTTTGCATGGAGCCATGTATGGATGGCCTCGTCGATTATGTTCGTCGACAAGTAAAATGTCCCGAATGTCGAGCCGAACATCGAATACCCTATCAGGTAAATAAAAAATTATTTTCTTCCCATAAAAATAAAACTCATTTTTCCTAATGAAATTACCATTTTTTTCCCTGTTTTTTTCACTAAAATGAACTACTAAAATAAATTTTTCAAAAAATAATACCTAGCAAATAAGTAATTTTATTCTAAAACTAAAAGAAAAATTTTATTTGTAACAAATTTTCCTTTTTGATTATTTTTCTATTTATTATTTATATTTGTTCTTCTAGTTATTATTTTTCTATTTATTTATTTATTTACTCGATATACGGGCTTACGAAAATAAAAAAAATTATATTTATGTTTTTCTTATTTATTTTTTTATTTATTATTTTTATTACTCTATTATTTATCATACACTATTTATTATTAAAAGTCTTTTTGGCTTTGAACGTAATTTATTATTTTTATTACTTTATTATTTATTAGACATTCAAAGCCTTTCAGTTTTGAACGTGAGATTTAGTATTTCAATTATGTTTATGTATTATTTATTCAATCGTTTTTTATAGTAATTTTTAAAAAATTTTATCGTATTTACTTATTTTTTTAATTTAAATTTTCCATTTTTGCTTTTTTCAAATAATACGAGCGAAAGAATTTATTTTCTTGGCCCAAATCTCTAAAAATATCAAATTGAAGGATATATTTATTGAGAAATGTTTTTTGATCAGCGCGTGTTGACAATAAATTCTCAAGTACAAGAAGAATATTTTTTACTGTGAATTTTTGGTCAAAAAAAAAAAGAAAAACGAACAAATTCCGAAGAAAAATTCAAATTTTACTGCAGAAAAAAAATACAAAAAAAAACGTTTTATTTCATTTGTTTGCATTATTTTTAAAAAATAATATTTTTAAATTATAATTCAAATATTTCGTACAGAAGATTTTTTTAAATTTTACAAACTTGGTTTAGTTTTTTCCTCTATAAATTTTGTTTGGTTTTTTTAATGGTTAAAATTCGATTTTTAAAGTAATAAAAAATTAAATTATTGTATTCCTTGATATTCAATAATTTTTTGTTACTTTAGAAAAAATACAGAAGAATTAATTTTTTGTAAAATTTTTTTTGTTTTATTTTTAAAAATTACAGTTGAAAACTTTTGTTCAAAAAAATGTTTTTAAAGAAAATTAGTTTAATTCTTGATCTATTAATATTTTTCCAGTTTTTTTAATTGTTTAAATTAAATTATTAAAGCAAAATTAATGAAATTATTGTGTTCCATGATGCTCAATTATTTTTTCTACTTTAGAAGAAATAAAAAAGAATAGACTTTTCGTTACATTTTTTACATTATTCATCAAAAATTACAATTGTAACCTTTTGTTCAAAACATTTTTTAAAATTAAAAAAAGTCTATATTTTTTTCTCTGTCAATTTTTTTTTTTTGGTTTTTGAATTCTTAAAATTAATTTTTTAAAGTAATAAGAATTAAATTAATGTATTCTATAATTAATTATTTTTTCTACTTTAGAAAAAATATAAAAGTAAAAAAAATTTTGTCATATTTATTTGAATTATTTTTGAAAACTTATGACTCAAACCCGTTGAACAAAATATTTTTTTTAAATTGTACAAAATTAGTTTATTTTTTTTGGCAATTTTTTCTTTTATTTTCTGTTAAATCTTCAAATTAAATTACTAAAGTAACTAATTTATTGTAATCCACAATGTTCAATTATTTTTTGCGTTTAAAAGAATACAAAAGAATACATTTTTGTTTTTTTAACAATATTTTTTGAAAAATTATAAATCAAATTTTGTGGGAAAACAGAGTTATTAATTTGATTAAATTAAATTATTTAAGTAATGATAATTAAATTATTGAAAGAAATAATAATTAAATTATTGAAGTAATAATAAATAAATGCTCAAATTATTCTCGAACTCTGCTTAATGCAAGAAAGAGTAAATAAATTGAATTAAATTAAAAAATTAGTGATAATTAAATGAATAAATAATTAAATAATTTTTTAAATTATTTTCAGGGTGTACAGGCCTTTCCAACCAACGTAACATTGCAACGTTTTTTGGAATTACACATCGAAATAACTGGGGAATTGCCAGATCCAACGAGTGGTCAAACCATGGAACGTTGCGGTGTTTGTTCAGAAAAAAGTTATTGCGCTCTTTGCGTTCATTGCGAGAAAAAATGCTGTCCAGAATGCAAAGACGCACACATGGACATTCTGAGACGAGAAATCACACGTATCAACTCACAGGTATTAAAAAAAAAAATTTTTTCCTTTTTTTTGTTAAATTTTACAAAATTTCTTTTAGATTTTTTAAAGTTTTTTTTTTTTTTGATAAATTTTGCAAAATTTTCTCTCGAATTTTTTTTACTGTGGTCTTTTTTTCATAAAGTTTGTAAAATTTCTTTCAGATTTTTTCAGCTGTAGTTTTTTTTGATAAATTTAGCAAAAATTTCTCTTGGAATTTTTTTACTGTGTTTTTTTAAATAAATTTTGTAAAATCCCTTTTGGATTTTTTTTTTGGTTAAATTTTGTAATATTTCTCTTAGTTTTTTTTTTAAATATCTTTTCAATTTTTGAAATTGATAAAATTTGATATTTAGATAAATGAAAAATACATGTTGACACAACTATAAAAAAATGTGAATGGTAAAAAAAAGATGTTTGCGTGGAATGACGTGAAATTTGTTTATCGTGTCGATGCCAAACGGAACTTGATGTATCAATGATTCACGTTTATTTCCGTGAATGATAGATATTCGCACAATCTTCTCGTGCCAATTTTGTATAAATTTAATAATGATTCACATTAGTAAATTAATTCAACCTTGAAAAATTTCACTCCCAAACTATGATTTTTAACGACAGGGAATTAATGTCATTTTTTGCATCAATATTTAACAATATTTCTTGTTTAGTGGACAAAAAAAAATTGCTACTCATTTCTCTTAAATTCTGAATTTTTAAAAAATAATTTTTCAGTACTGCGATGTTAATTTTTTTCTTATTATTATTCTTATTATTGAAATAATAAATAATAATTATTTTTATTGTCTACTGTGGTGGGAAATAATTCGAATTTGCTAGATAACAATAAATAATTTACCTGATACAAATTCTTGGCGGGCATGACGTTTTTTGTGAATTCCCCAACGATATTGCCGGGTGGCTCATAGTTGCAAACAACATAAATTTGTCCCCTTTCGCTAGTCGCCAATCCAACGCCCACTTTTACCGTTTCCTTCCAGACCAATTGAGTAAAATGGCCAACTGCACTTGAATTTTTTGGTTCCGCTCCGTCGAATTTATACAAAGAAATTTCCCCATACCTACAAATTTAATTTTCTCTTTTACTAACTTTTCTTTATTTTCCTTTATTTCTCTTTCGCCAGACAAGAAATATTGTAAATATGCAAAAGAAAAATTACTATCACTACGAATTGTTATTTCACATTTTTTTTACTTTAAAAATTTTTCATTTAAATAGTGATATTAATGTAAATAAAAATTAATAGTGATTATAATTAATTTTGATTTTATCACTCAGAGCGCAGTTAGAGAAAAATTTTATCTAAACCAAATATAATTTATTTGAGTTACATAAATGAAAGTATAATTTGTCTCAGAGCCTACTAAATTATTTATTTGTTAATACATATTAATTTATAAAAAATATTATTGATTGGTAATATTATTCGAAAATAATATTATTAATTGTTAATTATTAAATTTGAAAAATTAAAAACAAATAAATTACCAAGATTTCACGGGATCATGTGGATCAATTTTCCATTCTGGGTCTGAATTATAAGCTTGATAGAGATTTTCCCCATAAGAATTATTTTCCCTATGCTCCATTTTGTCAATATTAGCGAGGTTTTCTGCCCATTCTTGTGCGAATTGATTCAACTTCATTAATTCCAAAAACGAGTGCAATTATATCAATTAAAATTATAGTTTAGATTTAAACTGAAGAATTAATTAATTCGCCAATTAATTAGTTCCTTAATTGTCTCAATTTATTGATCAATTAAATCTGTATTCGATTTTCTAATTTATTTTCTATTTGATTTCTTATTTAATTTCGTATTTAATTTTTTATTTAATTTCCTGTTTGATTTCTTATTTGATTTTTTATTTGACTTCTTATTCCATTTCTTATTTAATTGATTTAATTATATTCTTATTTAAATTCTTATTTTATATTCTTATTTAATTTCTTATTTTAAATTCTTATTTAACTTCATAAATAATTCTCTAATTTTTACTGTTCAATCAAATGTCGATTAATTAATCTAATTGATATCTAATTAATGTCAAAATCAGATGACAAATAATTTTTCTAATTAATTTCTTAAATAATTACTTCGATTTTCGAAATAGTTTTTTTTCTAATTATTGTAGCGAAAATAATTAATTATTTGTATTGATAAATTAAGTATTAATTGTACTTCTTCATTTTCTTCTAATGGAGGACTCTCGTGTCGTTCTCGATATTGATTGTGATGTTTTATACATTCCTTAATAAATTCTGGACTTATTTTCCTAATGAAAGAAGAAATTATTAATTACTGTGACAGTAATTGTAATTTACATTTTATAAAAATTAATTTTTAATTGTTTTTAAATTATTACTCTTTAATAACTTAATTTTTATTTAATTATTATTTACTTTACACAAATTATTATAATTATTATTATTATTTAATTTTTAATTCACATAAATTATTATTATTTACTTTTTAATTTATTGAAATTCAAAAAAATGTTCTTGATAATTTATTGAAATCGTTCTTGAATTTTATTTCTACTTACTGTGCCATGATAATTCAAATATTTTGCTACGTTTCTATTGATTTTTTTATAGTTATTTATAGTAAAAAGATGGAAAAAGGAATTTTGTTTCAAAAATGTAAAAAATAATTTATTTAATTTTGATTACGGATAGAAATGGAATTTTTTTATATTTAATTTTGATACTTGGTTCCGAAAAAAATAATTTCGAGGTTAATAGCCGAAAGAAATGTTTAATTTTGACATTTGGAAAAAAATCTTACTCTCAAATCATTTTTATTAAAAAGGCGATTTTCATTTATCTGCAAATTTGATTTAAAAAATATTTTTATCATAATTTAATTTTATTTTAAACTTTGACATTTTACTGAACTGTTTGAAAATTAAATTTTATTGGTTTATAGTTCAAAAATTATTTATTGTTTAAAAACCCATTTTATTTTAAAATAATAATTTAATAATTGAAATTGAATAAAAACATGAAAATTAAATTAAACAATTAAAAGACTTTTATTTTAATTTCCCTATACCTTTAAAATTAAAATTTCTTTAATGACTTTTATTTTATTTTCTCTAAGACTTAAAAATTAAAATTTCTTTATTACTTTAAAAAAAAAAAATTTCTCCCAAAAAAATGTAAGAATTACAATTTTCTTCAATAAATTTCAGGTGCGTAGAGGATTACATCGACTGCAGGATGCATTGGCTTTAGTGGAGAAGAACACTCTTGGTCTACAGACAAATTCTGCATCGGTTGCAGAGGAAGTGGACGAAATTTATCGAAGACTCAGTAAGGCATTAAAAGATCGTACCGAGCAATTGCGTAACGAACTCGATCGTTATTTGGGCACTGAACTTCGAGGTCTCATTCAACTCAAAGAAAATCTCGAGCTCGAGATTGCCAATATTCAAAGTAATTGCGATCTTGCCGAGGCTCACATTAATGAAAATGTCCCATGGGACGATGCCGAACTTCTCGATACCAAGGAACTATTTTTGCGTACCGTCGAATTCATCCGGTAATTTTTCCCCAATTCCTCTTTATCTCTTCTTTTTTGTTATTTTTAAATTCAATTTTTTAATCTTTTGTATTCTTTCTGTATCCTTTTTGTATCTTATATATATTTTTTAACAGTTCTGTATTTTTTTGTTCCATTTTTGTATTTTTTTTTTTAACTTTTCTGCGTATATTTTTTGTTCCTTTTTGTATCTTTTTTGTATTTTTTTGAAACTTTTTTATTTTCCGTTTCCATTTTGTACCTTTTTTGTATCTTTTATTTTTACCAATAGTAAATTTTTCTTTTTACATATTTTCAATTTTAAAATTAATGTATTGAAAATAATTGAATTCCTTCGAATAATTTTATTATTTATGAAAATAATTGAATTCTTGCAAAGCATTTTATCAACAAATTTGAGAATAATTGAATTTCTCCGAAAAATTTTATTATTTATGAAAAGAATTGCATTCTTGACAAGAATTTTTTTAAAATGTTTGAAAATCCTAATTAAATTCTTTTGAAGAATTTATTTTATTGAAAAATTTTTTTTTTAATTTAAGGAGTTTCTTTAATAATTTTAATTTAAGATTTTAATAATAATTTAATTGAATTAGGTATATTAAACTTTTTTAGAAAATTATTAAATTCTTCTCAGAATTTTATTACAATTTTCTAAAATATTTTAATTAATTTAAGGAATTTTATTAAAAATTTTTAATAAATTGTTTTTTTTAAAGGATTTTTTATAAATTTTAGAAAATAATTGAATTCTTTTGAAAAATTTATATAAACAAGTTGAATTATTTCATGAAATTTTATTGAAAATTATTAAATTTTTGCAAAAATTTGACTATTTATAAATATAATTGGATTTTTTCGCAGAATTTATTAAAATTTTAAAAAATAATTGAATTGTAGTGAAATTTTTTATTAGAACGAATTAAGAAAAAAATTGAATTCTTTAGTGAAATTTTTTTTAAAATAATTGAATTTTTGCAAAGAATTTTACTATTTTTAAGAATAATTGATTTCTTTCAAAGAATGTTATTATTTATGAAAATCATTGTATTCTTGTGAAGAATTATATTTAAAATTTAAAATTTTTGAAAATACAAACAATAATAATTAATTATGTACTTAATTTTATTTTTTATTTTTCAATATATACACGGGGAATGCCCTTTATTACAAAATTAAAAGAAATACTTAAACTAAAAAAGAAAAAAGAAAAGATGCTTTCAGCCTTGAAAGGAATATTTTATGTTGCGTAGAATTGCGTAGAATGAGTGTTTTTTTTAATTTTGTTTATGAAATTATTCAAAAATTTATTTTTGAAAATAAAAAATTTTATAATATGGATAATAATAATAAATTGAATATTTCGTTTAGCGCGCTTAATAATTCCAAATTTGCATTAATTAATAAAATTATCGCATTTACAGGAACTTTGAATATGAAGCGGGAGATTATGGTCGTCGGGTGCGTTTCGTAATGGCCCACGATCCGAATCAATTGGTCCTTCACGTTGCCGGTTATGGAGAATTGAATATAAAACCAGAAACCGGAAGTAGCGGACTTTTGGGAAGCAGTTCCGGAACTCTAGCACCGCCTGGCGGTTCACCAGGACTGATGAGGAGTAAAAGCGATCATCGTCTCGCCTCACAGTACCGTCAACCGGATGACGACAATCGATTGACTAGAAATCGATACGTTCCCGATTATGAGTAATTATTTTTCCAACGGAAAATTTACACCCTTTTTTCCTGGCTCTTCTTTTTTCTTTTCAATTGTCAAATCGAATATTTATTCCTCTTCTTCTTCTTCTTCTTCTAATTTCCAAAAATTACAAAAAAATATTTTCTATTCGATTATTCAAAAATTTGCTAATTGACTTTGAAGTGTCAACATTTTCAAGGGGAGATAAAATTGTAAAATCGGGAAAAGTGCTGAAAAAGTACATAAGGATCAGAGAGGCTAGAAATTTTGTATCGCAAGCAATATAAGGATAAATGGGTTATGCGCGCGATAGTTCTTTTCTTTTTTTTTCTTCTCCTCTTTTTTTGTCTAAATTTCTGGCAGTAGAAGAAAGATTTTTCTTTGATAAAAGAAGCACGTAGGAAATACTGTTCTCGGCCTTTTTCGATCAAAGTAGCGAATTGTTTTGGCAGATCGCCAAAGTCCTGACGAGAGGGGAATAAGTTTTTCAGAATGACCCAAATATCTATACTCTAGAATAACTTTTATACATATATATATATATGTATCTTTGAATATAAAATACTAAATACCTTCTCTCCTTTTTAAATTTCACTCATTCTCTTAAATTTCTTTATTGCCCATTTATACATTTTTCTTTCTATATGTACTTCTTTTTTTTCATGTCTAAAATAATGAATTTAATTACAGACCATGTATAAGATAATTTCTCGTCAGTCCCGTTGCCAACTCTCGTTAATGAACACCCCCCCCTCCCCCCTCTTTCTGAAAAGCCTCGAAATATGCAAATTGTTGAAATGGTGTTGCGTGCTAAACGCAAGCAAAAATAAAAGAAATGAAATTGACCATAAATTATTTCTTTCGACGCTTTTAACAATTCACCGACTGTTTCTCTATTATATATGAGCCAGTTCTTTTTTTTTTGAACCCAGCGACGAATCTTGTTTATTGGCATTTTTATTGTCTTAAATGTCTTTATTAAAGTAGCAATAAAAATTGTCGCACGATTCAAAGGAATGAGAGTTATTTTCCTAATTGTTAAATTGTTGTGTTGCTAATATCAAAATAGTGGCGTTTTTTTTTTTTATCTTTCTCTCGAGAATTATTTCTCGAATTATTTATTACTTTAGACAGAAAAAAAAGAAACTAAAGATGTAATTTTAATCTAATAATTTGATTTTAGATACGATGCACCTGAATATGAGGCGCCGAGGAACAAATCGCGTTACAGGAGTCGATTTATGAGACATCGTGACGGTGAGGATTCGGATGGCGATACAAGAACAACGGTGAGATTCACGGGAACACAGGACACGGGAAATGCACGTGAACGAGTACTTGATACGGAAGATGCTGCGAGGGGTCCTCTCTCGGGAATTTTTCGCCTCACGGATTCACCACGTGTTATGAAGAAACTACAGGAATACGAAAGGGCCGGCAAGAGGAAAAAAGAGGAACCCGTTCAACCTCCACCCCCGGCACAGCCAAAGCCTCAGGTGAGCAAAGTCTCTCAATAATTTTTCCTCTTAAGCATTTTTTTTCTTTTTCATTTAATCCAATTTTTTTTTTTTTTTTTTACTATATCGTCAGACCAATTATTTCGAAATTATTATTTTAGTCTCGAAATTTATTTATAGTTCGGGAAAATATTGAGAAATATGTGGTCTGACAATCTTTTGACTAATTGAATTTTACAAAAATAATTGTAAAAGACTTTTTTTTAATGAACTAGATTAGAAATTAATTGTGAGTAAAAAATGCCCCTCATCATTCTACAGGCAATGGCTAATGATTCACGAGACGTGAAGGATTTACTTGGCTCACTTGTATTAAGAAAAGGTTGCCTTCTGTTTATCTTAAGCTGGACTTTATTAATTATTGCAATCTTTTGGATTCACTAGACACGGGAAATTTCATTATAATTATATACACAATACTTAAAATTTATTATAGAGTCAATTTATAATTATTATTACTATTAAATTAATTATAATAATAGACAGTTATATTTATTTTTCCCACTGTCTGAATTTCCATTTTCTTTTCGTCTAAATGACAAAAAAAAATTCATTTAAATATTGTCATAATTTCTACAACAAAGAAACGAAAATTATCCTATAATCGAAAATTAAAAAATAGAATTATTAATTATTATTTATTAATTATTCGAAATAGAAAATTATTCGAAAATTTAATGATCTATTGAAAAGTTAGCGAAATGTTTTCAAAAACAGAGTCAAAAAATATATTTTGAATGTGAATGATAAAAATAAGTAAAGACAAAAATAATCAAGAAACTATTTTTAAGAATAAAAAATAAATTCTGACATTGTTTGTTTGGCAGGATTTGTCAAATCCTGAAGATTAAGAGCTGAAAATAAGGACGAGCCCATCCACACGCACTCGACACGTCGGCACAACGGAAAAATAAGTTCGAAACAAAAGCTAATGCCACTGATTGAAATTTTCAAAAAAAAGATAAAATCTCTTCTATTAGTTTTGTCAAGTAGTTTTCAATTTTTATTTTCCTAAAAAAATTAATTTTATTTGATTGTGCAAGCTTTTCTTAGCGTAGTTGTTGATAATTTGTCAATTTTTCTTTTTTACATGTCTTGTTCAAAAGTGAATTAATCAAAATATTAGTGGAATTTGCCAAACAAAAAAAATTGTTTTTTTTCTCATAATCCAGCAAAATGCGAATATAAATTTGAAATTCAAGCATTTCTGCTAAAGTGTAAATTTATAAGAAAAGCATGTACGCTATTAAAAAAACTGCCTATTTTTTGGCGATTGAACTACTAATAATAATAATTAAATATTAAAAAAAAAACGTTTTGCCGTTGTGTAAATAGAAAATGTGCTGCGGAGGTTCTCGTTTGTTTGCACAGTCTCCATTTCAATTGCCATTCAATCGTAATTTATTTTTGCGATGCAATCATGATTTTCTTGATATCCAAATATATTTTCAAACTCTCTAAAATTACGCTCAAGGTCTTCTTAAATTTAAACTTTCACGCGAAATTATTATTTGTTTACAGAGAAATTGTTTCTGTTTTTGTAATATTTTGTTGTATTTTGTATTTTTTGTTCTAAATTTGTACTTTCCTTATTTTGTTTTACTTTTCTTTCATTCGATAATTTCGATTTTCATTTTTAATTTTTGTTTAAAATTTCCTTCTACATATACCATTAGTTTTTTCGCTTTTTATTTCAAGTTTTATTTTTTTTTTCTTAAAATTATGTTTCTGTTTCTAATTTCAATTTTTTAAGAAATTCTTTTTTCTAAAACAAAAATGATTTTAAAAAAATTTACATACGGAAAGAAACAAAAATTTTTGAAATAATTTTTAAATTTTCGTTGAAGCTTTAAATTTACAAAATCCGTTTAATTTACATATGTAGATGCTAAACTAAAAAAAGTAGCAATTTTGTTCCAAGAAGCATTTTTAGAATTAGTTTCCATAGGCTAAGAGAAGATATTATTTTTGAAAAATGCCTTTTTAAACTACAATTTTGATTTTCTGATATTTAAAATTGCTAGAATTGAAAAAACACTTTACAACATTGTACGAGTACTCACTGTAAATTTTTCACTCACTATTTATCTTTTGAGAATAGTTTAAATAAAACACTGATGATATTCTTACAATTCGTTGTAAATTTATTCACACACAACCTTTTTTAATCATTTCTGGAAAGAATTTTTTTCTAAATAATTATTATGAGCCAAAGCCTGTAAGATAATTTAAATATTTATCAATACGTCGGTAATTATTTGCCAACAATTTAATTATTTTAATTTTTAATTATTTGATTACTATTTCTATTATTTATTTTTATAACTATTCCTAAACTTACAATACTTTTTGGCTAATAAATTAAAAATAATCAATTTCCTATTTTTTGAATTTTTAGTCTGAAAACCATTTTCTTTTTTAGTTTTTAGACGAAAATTGATTTTAATAATAAAGTGATAGAGAAAAATTGAAAGAGAAGAAAATAATAAAAATTTTATTTGCAAATAGGTCCAAGTGAGAAAAGCTCCAACAGCCGTGGCTCGACAAGTGAGCGAAGACGACGAAATTTCGCGGATCAAGAAGCAAAATAAAAATGTTCCTACCCCACCGGAAACTGTCGAAGAACGTCAACCGCCTTCTGTGACTGTCAGAGAGACACAGGAACGAGAACCCGAAGAACTTCCCCGAAGAACACCCATTACCAGGTAAAAATTGTAGAAATAGAATAAAAAATTTAGTTTTATATAAATTTTATTTATTTTTTTTGTTTTGTTTGTAAAATAAATTTTTGTGACCTTAGAAGAACATCGGCAGACGCTCATGCTCAAGGAACAAGAAGTGCATCTTCAGATTCAAGTACAGGCTCGGAAAGTTCAAGTGGCTCGGGAATAAGAACAACTGGTGCACCATTCACTGCTGAAGAAATGAAACAGAAATATTTATCGAGAGCACCGCCGACAAATACAACGACAACGATTTCTTCAGGTCCAGGTAGTCTCTCAAGTTCATCCCATAGAGACCCTCCAACAACAACCACATCCTCCACCAGACCCTTTCAGAGTCGTTTTTTAGGCGCAGGTAATATCAACACAGTCTTCTTCAATTCAATTTTAATAAACAAAAAATTAATCCATTTAACCCAAAATACTAATTTTTATTAATATATTCACGCTTATTATTAATAATATTCAATATTGTCATTAACCAAACGATTAATATTATTCAAGGAATCTTTGGGAATTACAACCCACGTCGTAAATGTCGTAATCATTTTTTAAGGTATAGCTGCTGATATAGTCGCCTGGTGTGTTGTCATCGATATTGTTGTTTTTGTTATTGTTTGCACTGGACTTCCCCTTGGCTTGTGACGTATCTGCAAAAATTTATTTCATTTTTTTTTTTAATCATTTCCTGATTTATTTTTATTATTCAGGGTTGCCATAGGGAAAGTAGAATTTGTAAGAGAAATCAGGGGAAAATATCGGGGATTTTTGTTAAAAAGTACTGGAAACAATTAAATTTTTAGAATTACTAAGAAAATTCTGAATTTTGGTGTTAATCATTATAAAAATATTTTTCATTTTCTTCCTTTTTTTGGGACAACTTTTTTTCTTTCTTAAATTCAAAACAGTGGATTTTTTATTGTAAATGTTTTCCTTCCCCTCTTTTTAAAATTATTTTGTATATTTCTTTCGTAAATTCTTCTCCTCAATCCTTTCGTGACATTATTTTCCTAAGAAAGAAAATTTTTTTTTCGCTCACTATATATTTATTTTGTTACAGTAATCGAATATTCCTAATTTGGTAAATATTGGATTTTTAGAATACTTTTCAGTATATTTATCTATAAAATAGTCTAATTCTAATTAATAAAATGCTTGTAAATAAAAAAATTAAATTGCTAAACGCTTATTAATAAATGCCGCAAAATTTTTTAGTCTAAAGTTTGAAGCTTATTTTTTATAAATTTTATATAAATATTAACAATAATACTTTTTGGTATTTATTTATATTTAAATATATTATTTATTTTTAATTCATTTAATTCTAATTTTTACATTTTTGATAAAAAATATTTTCTTAAAACTGTTAAAAAAGGACCAATTCTGTTTCTAGAATAAAAGAAATAAAATAAAAAATTTCTTTAGCAAGTGAGGAATTTTTTTTTTTTTTGTAAAAAAATTGAAAAAAAAGTTAATTGGTAAATTTTTTTGTGAATAGGTAATCGTGCGGCACCACCGCCTCCTCAGGTGACACCAACGCCAGCCAGGGAAGAGCCGAAGAAGAAGGAAGAAGTGGAGGAAGACGAGGATGAAACGAGCAGTTCATCCGAAGAGACGGAAACTGAAACCGAAGAGGAATCGGAGACCGAGACTCGAACAACGACCACTGCACCGGCCGCGACACAAGATCGACAGAGAAATGAATCTGCCATGGCTCGAACAGATATTGGCCCTCTTCTTGCACGCAGTGCTGAGGCACGTCGTGGCAGCAAGGAGGACTCACCTTCATCCAGGTGAAATTATCATTTTTATTAATTATAATTTTATTTTTTAATAATAGTTTTTTTTAATTTTTTCTTTTTCATTGTTTCTTTCAATAATTTTTATTCATTATCATTTTTATTATTGTATTTTTTTTATTATTGAACTTTTATTATTTTTAAGAACAATTTTATAATGAATTTTTAAAATTAAATTTCTACAGAATTTACATTAAATTGGTACAAAATAAAATAAAAGTATAAAATAAAATAAATAATAGAATAAAATAAAAGTATAAAATAAAATTGCTGTAAATTTAAATTAGTAAAAATTAAAATATTTTACAAAACACTAATTTTAATAATTAATATTTAGATAATAAATATTTACGAAAATAATTTAATTTCAGTATAAATTTAGTAAATTTTTTGTTACTTTCAAAATTAATCAGATTTTTCAACACTTTTTTTAACATTAATTTATGACTCGGAAAATAAATTCTCATTATTTTGCAATAATAAAAATAAATTTGAGCGATACTTTATTATTTAATAATTTAAAAAAAAACAATTCCCATTTGTTGGAAATTATTTGTTTTAATTAATTTTTATTTCTTAATTTATTTCTAATTCTCATGTTATTATTAATTTATTATTTTGCAATAATAGAAATAAATCAGGAAATGATTTTAAAAAAATGAAATAAATTTTTGCAGATACGTCTCGCCGAGGGGAAGTCCAGCGCAGACAATATCAACAACAACAACACCAACAACAACATCGATGACAACACCAGGCGGCTATACCAGCAGGTTCGTAAAAAACGATCACGACATTCACGACTTGGGTTCTAATTCCAATAATTCCCTGAATGATGATAATAATCGTTTGATTAATGACAATATTGAAGACGAAAAATCCTCGTCAAATTATTCCGAGGAATCGAAAATCACTCGGTTCGCGAATTTAACGAATTCATCTAAAAGCAAGTCGGACGGTAATTCATTAATAAAACAAGACGTTACTTTAACTTTGACAGAAATTACAAAAAAATTACTACCAAATGAAAATAATAATCCTTTTTCCCCACAAGAGGAAAATATTTCCCAAATGTCTAGTGGCGAAAAAAATAATTTCATAATCGACACTAATAAAAAATTGATTACTGACGAGAATGTCATTTGGAATAATGATCAGAATGTCTTCTTGTCTAGTCGTGACTCCGAGGATGATGGAGGCCAGAGGAACGTTGTTGACAACTTGAGAATTCATGGAAATTCTTTGGCAAATGATGATGTTCAATGCGAGAAAAATGGAAAAATCAATAGCCATTCCAATAATGAGAATAAATTTTCCAATGATGATGATTGTCGAGAGTTAGTCGATTTAAATACACAAGGGACCAAGGCAGAGAGAAATATTTTCGAACGAGAAATTCTCGGACCGATTATTGAGAGTAGAAACGAGACCGATGAGGAAGAAACTGAAGATGATGATGACTCGGAAGAAAATAAAGAATGCGACAAGGATGAAAAAATTCCCAGTAAAATTAACGAAAATTCCGATAAATATAAAGTAGAAAAAACCAATGGCATATATGCAAATGGAACTTTAAAATCTAACGAAACACAATCTGATAAAGGAATAATTTCTAACGGAATACCAAAAATTTTGATAAATCAATTCAGTTCTGAATCAGAAGATTTGGAGAATCAAAATTCAAAAATTGAAAATACTCCCCAAAGTAAAGAAAATGGCACTATAAATAATAATGGATGGATCGAGAACGATAATCAAAAAAATTCCCCACCAAGTATTTCGAATTTATGCGAAAATTCAAGTAGTGAAAAAAATTTACTATCGAACAACGAGGAAATCGATGAGAATGTAAATTCGGAGAAATTCAGAATTTATCGTCATGGTAGCATTGGAAAAAATGGTTGGATGACTTCCTCCGATGAATCCGAGAGTGAAACTGAAGCGCCTGATTCGACGACGCTACCGCTAGACGGCGCTAACGATGACAATGAAGAGATGAACAATAATGAAAAAGAAGACGATGAAAATTCATTGGAATTCAACGATGAAGAGGGAAAAACGCTTCCCAACGAGATTGATAAGGAGGAAATGAATTGTGAACGAAATGGAAATGAGAGTGAAACGAAGAAACTTTATTCGAGCCCTGATAATGAGAAAAAGGATACAACTGAGAGAGACGTGAGTGTACCGATGCAAATGGTAACCACTGTTCTCTGTGTTTCCGTACTGTGTTGCAGCGTTTTAATTAATCTGTTCCTGTGACTTTAAAAACAAAAAAATAAAAAAAAAACAGTCGAAGGTGGCGATTCTAAGAATCAGATAAAGACCGAAACGAAACATTCCCTTTGCTGCTGTATCGAAACAGAAGAAAAAAAATTTACCTTTTGTCCACTAATCAAATTATCAAAATTTCTCTAACTCAGTTTAATAAGAATTAAAAAGAAATTAATTTTTATAACCAAAAAAAATTAATTTTTTAATCATTTTTATATATCAGAAAGCAACAAACGCTAACAATTTATTTCTAGATAAAAATAATTTTCTTTCTTTCAAATACTTTAAATTAAAAATGTTTGCTAAATGAGAATAACTAAAATTATATCTGTAATTTCTCATCTTTAATTTTTTATCTTATTTAAGTAAAATAATCGTTTCGTTATTTTTACTAAACTCAAATTTCTATTCTTGTTTTAAGAATATTGAATTAAAATTTCTTGTTTATCAAACAATTTTTTTTTTTTGTTTATCAGACAATTCTTTTGTTTATTAAAAAAAATCTTCATTTTTCGTTTTGATAATTGAAAAAAATGTTTTAAACAAAAATTCCACTAGTCCAAAAAATATTCTCTCTTAAATTCAAAAATTTTGTCAGAAAAAAATTACTCTTTTCAAAATGAAAAAGTGATGCAAAAAAAGACTGAAGACTAAAAAAAGAAATTAAAACCATATAATCAATTTTAAATATGACTGAAAAATTCTGTAACTGACTGAAAGAATTCCGTCCGACTATATTTAATATTATAAAAAAAATGCCGAATATTTACTAAAATTGTTTCATGTGAAAAAATGGTCTTTCTCCGATTCTCACACCTTCACTAAAATTAACACCAATTGAAAGAAAATTAAAAAAAAAATATAACACCAATAAATAGCTGTTAATGCATATAATATTAACGAATGGAAAGACCAGAAAAAAAGAATGATTTTCAATTAGAATATTGCAAAAGAGAAAAAAGGAAAAATTTCTAATTTGATAAACATCGAAATATAATTATTATAATTATCAGAAAATCGATGTAAAATATTTAGTTAATTTGTCGTGAAGCTCTTGTATTTACTCAATATGCTCGATCTATGCATTTTTTTCTTTTTGCGTATTGTGATATAATAATTATTATTGAAGACGTGTTTTTAACCGATTCCTGTATGCAAATGTACTTTCCAGTTTCGTTTTCTTTTTTTTTTTTAATTGTTAATTGTTGCTCAATATTTAGCTTTTTAGCTTTCGTTTTTATTACTTCTTTGTTATTATTTTTTATTGATGGAACTTAAGTCAAATTATTTTAATTACAAATTTCTGATTTTTTCTTTTCAAAAAATTTCTATTTTCTTCAAATTAAATTTTTATTTATTTCTATCTTACAAATTAATTTTTATTCGTTTATGTTATTTAATTTTTATTTATTTCTATTTTTCAGATTAATTTCCGATTAGTATATATTTTTCTTTTTGGAATACATTTTTTATTTAATTACTATTTAAAAAAAAAAATAAAATAAATTTAAATATTAAAAATAAATCATTTTTGAATTTATTTCTTTTCGGAATTAATTTTAATTAATTAATTCTTTAATTACTATTTTTGAATTAAAAATTGACGATTGAGTTGAAAATAAATTTTTGAATTAATTTTTATTTAATTAATTCTTTAATTATTATTTTTTAATTAAAAATTGACGATTGAGTTAAAAATAAATTTTTGAATTAATTTCTTTTCGAAATGAATTTTAATTAATTAATTCTTTAATTACTGTTTTTGAATTAAAAATTGACGATGTTTGAGTTAATTTCTTTTTGGATTTAATTTTTATTTAATTAATATTTACCAGTTAAATTGAAAATGAAAATAATTTAAATTTGAGTTTTAATTATTTTTTCCCGATTGAAGAAAATTTAAATTGAGAGAAAATTCTTTCCAGTTATTCATAATTAAAATAATTTGAAATCGATATAAAAGTGTTTGATTTGAATTCGAAAAAAGAATTGACCGAAAGAAAGAGAAAAAGGTGAAAAAAAAGAGAATTAGAGTCATGAAAGTCGTACGTGAAAAAAAAATCGTACGTACATGATAATTTTTTAATATTCGAAAATATTCGCTATTTTAAAATTATCACGAGGATACGATAAACGAATCTTAAAATAAGTGTTTTTTTACTCTCTTGATTATTTTTTTTTTTTGGTTTTTTTTTTGTTTAAGCGAAAAAATATACGCTTTTGCATCAGTTTTGTGAGTGTGGTAAATAAACTGCATTTTTGTGATAACTCGCATTTTTTATTTACCTGTCAAAGAAAAACCGTCCTAGTATTTTTTTTCTGCATTCCGCTTGTGATTTTTTTTTTGGTATAAAATTTGTGATCCTTGTTTATCATCAGAAATTTCAAATTTATTACAGAATTTTTTAATTGTTTAGTTTTTTCATTAACTAATTTTATCATTTGACTAGATGGAAAGTAAAAGATACTACGATTTCATGAAATTCTATTTTTCTGTCCTTCGTTTTTTTCCTTTTGGTCTTCTTTGGTATTTTTTGATTTGACGAATTTTCATCATCTTTTTCACGAATTTCGAAAAAATTAAACATTCTGCTTGGATTTTAATCGAAGTTTCTTATAAATTTTGAGAGAAAATATTTGATTGCAAAATCACATTTATTAAATTAGCATTTAGCAAATAGCAATTAGCAATTAGCAATTAGCAATTATTAATTATTAATTATTAATTAGCAAATAAACTAATAATTAATAAATATTTATCAATTTCATAAAAATTATTTCGTAATATTGTTTCATTATTAATGTTATTAATTAATTTTTCATTAATTAATTTTAGCTTAATTTATTTTTCAATATTCACAATAAATTAACAAGCAGAAAATATTGAGAATTTTTATTTTTTTGGAGAAAATAAAAAAAAAACAATTTTCTATAGAAAAATCTTTTTTTTTCTCTCTTTTTTTTTCTTTTTGTTAAAAAATATTTGCAGATTCCTGAACAAGAGCAGAAGTCAGGCAGCAATGGCACCGACGAGAGAGAGGGACAGGGAGCCAGTGGACACGGAGCCCATCGAGCCATTGTCGCCGAGATCGAGGTACGCCGCCCTGAAGGAGAGACGACAAAGATTGGCGAGATCGAGGAGCTCGCACAATTTCGGTGGCGAGGAATTGGAAATCGACGAGGATCCACCGTCCCCGACGACACAATCGCCGAATGCATATCTGGCAGCGAAATACGGAGCCGGCTCGGAATTGGCAAGAAGTCGGAGCACTCACGCTCTAAAGTCCCGCGAACCAAGTCCGGATCGAGATCGCGGAGGCGCCGAAAAAGACGGCGCTGCCCTTAGCTCATGGGCGCGTTATCTCAAAAATAAATACGGAAATCGAAGCACCAAGGATAAGGAGCCACCGACCACCACCTCGATACCCTCATCTAGGTAGGCTTTGAGAAAATTTTAATTTAAAAAAAAAACAATGAAAATTGTCGTGAATTTTAATTTATTGTCGGAATTATTTTTAAAATTATCTCTATTCGTCTTGGATAAATTATTTCTATCCGGTTTTTAAAAAAGAATTATTGGATAAATTATTTCTTTCCGGTTTGGCAAAAAGAAAAATTATTTACATCCCTTTTGGATAAAATTATTTTGATTCACATCCGTCTTGAATAAATTATTTCTATCCGGTTTTTGCAAAAAAATATTATTTACATCCATTTTGAATAAATTGTTAAATTCATTGTTCGTTTTGGAAAAATTATTAAATTAAATTTTTTTTTTTGAAGATTTTTTTTACATTTTCTTCGAAAAATTTACAATCATTTTCGTAAAAATTATTTATATAATCGAATTGAATAAATTAGTATATTTCTATCAGTTTTGTAAACAATATTTATATTTTCTTTGAAAAAATTATTTGAGTTATTATTAAACTAATTTATTATTTTCTATTAGATTTGAAAAAAAAATTATATTTGGAAAAGTTATTTATATTTTCTTTAAAAAAATTATTATTTTTTTAAAATTATTATTGGCATTACTTATTATTGGCTGTTACTAATTTATTTATTTATTTATTCATTGATTTATTTATTTATTTATATCCCATTCGGTAATATTTTATTTACTAATAATATTTTAAATAATTTCTTATCACTTAGTCAGCAAGAAATTTAAATTGACTCTTTATTTATAGAATTTAATAGTCTTTCTCTTTTTTAGAATATTTGAAAGTTTTTTTCTATTTTTGAAAATTAAATTATGGAAAATTTTATAAATTTACATATATATTTATCTATAGAGAATAAAAAAATGTACACACAAACACACACTATTTGTATAGACACTGCAGAATATTTGGATTTCTTTTTAAAGGATATGAAATAAAAAAAAAGTGCTTCAAATTGCATGGTAATTTACTTCAGAAAATCCCTTGTGAACTGGTTCTCCTTGTAAGGTAATTAACGAGATTGTTTATAGGATTATTTTTAATTACGTTTTCTTTTTTTATCCAACAGAAGTACTTTAAGTGAACAACTTTTTTTCATCCTTGCAAATAATTACATTTTGTTTCAATTTTAATCATTTTGATAATTTGTTATTTTTACTGATTCTTATTAATTATTTTTTTTTTATAAATTAAATTCACAGTTTTTGATTATGTTTACAATTTTAATTTTATTCTTTTCTGTTTTTTATTACAGTTCGATTATTATTTTTTAGTTTTACATGACTTTTACAATTTTTTGTTCTTCTTACAGTTTTGAATTATTTTTACAATTTTTAATATTTTTTGCAATTTTGTATTATTTTCATAATTTTCTACTATTTCGTTAATTTTCTATAATTAAAACAATATTCTATATTATTTTTACAATTTTCAACTATTTTTACAATTTTCTACTATTTTTACAATTTTCTATTATTTTTACAATTTTCTAATTTTTCAACAATTTTCTATTATGTTCATAATTTTCTATTATTTCGAAAATTTTCTACAATATAAATACAACAATATCCCATTATTTTCACAATTTTCTATCATTTTTACATTTTCTTTTTTTTTCGACAGCTTTGTAATTATTATAAAATATTAACGTCGATTTTGTAGTTTTATGACTAATTAAAATAAACAAACATTTTTAAATATTTTTTAAATAAAATTAAAAGTTCAGTCTTTTTTTAAAGTTTTGCTATTATGTATAAATAAAGAGTTTTTAATATCTCGTAAAATCGTTATATTTTATGGAAAATTAAATAAGATTATAAAATTTTTATGTACAAAATATTTCAAAGTAGTAAAAGTGATGTATGGCCAGACAGTCATTAATTTATTTGTCTTCTAATAAAACTATAAATTTCACTTAAATAATTAATATAAATAAAGTAAAAATAAATGTAAGTGAATAATAATATAAAAACATTAATATATTATAATATAAATATTAATTATTATAATTTATGTTAATATTTATAGAAATTAACAATAGAAATTTACATTACCTAATATTAGAAATTTATATTAATATTAACATAAATTTTACTTTTTAAATTATCAATAAAAATTTAGTGATAAATTTTATTTTTACAATTTTTGATAAATAAACAGAGTTTATTTTCTTAATTTATAATGATAGATGTAGTATGAAATTTTAATTTTCGTGAATAATGGAAAAAATTACAAAACGTTCCTCTCACTACTGAAAATATAATAATTTTGAATAAAGAACAAACTTCGAATTTAAACCAACAGGAATAACGTAACTTACATAATAAATCATCTGAAAGGACATCAAGCGAGGATTGTAACGAGGAATTCAAATATTATGTAAGCACATTTTTTTCAATCGTTTCTTAACAACGTATCCCCCTTTTTTTCATTGAAGAAATACAATTTTGTGTATATCTACTTGTTTGTTCGATTTGTTACGTATTCTCATGTTCACCTTTATAAATGTCACAAGGTAAGGAGACAAAGCAAATTTATTTGTAAATTGTAATTTTTTTCCCCAAAGTCCTAAATTACACGATCCAATATTTTTTCTTGTGCTCACATAATATTTGAATAATCCTTGACTGTGATTGTCTCAATAATTATTTATTTTATTCTACATTAAAACAGATATTTGTGAATTAATTTCCACTGAAAAAAAAATTTATTCTCTTTTTGTAAATTTGTATCTAAAATTAACCTGAATTAGTAAAATTTAATAAATAGTAATAATTAACTGATGAAAAAAAGATCGAAAAAATCTTCTCTTATTTTTTTCTTGTTCCAAAAAAAGATTATATTGAAAAATCAAAATTTTTAAAAATCCATTAAAAATTCTATCGAGAATTTTAATTTTTGATTTGATTTCCTGAATATTAATTTTAAAAATCAATAAAACTTCAAATACTTCAAAAAATTTAATAATTTTTCCCAAATTGTAAAATAATGATCGAAATAATTTCCTTGTGAAAAAAGAAGCGAACGTCGTTGTTGAAAAAAAAATGAGTAAAAAGTAAAATTAGTAAAATTTTCCATTGATTTGTATGTAAAAGAAAAATTTTTAAAATTCCGTAGTGCAAGCGCAACCTCTAGAAGGTTGTCACTTGGTCTACCTCTGAGACATCCGGGTCAAACGTCCTTTGAATCTTCTGACGACGACCAAAAAAACCCGTCAGGCTCCCCCACGTCCCCTATAGCAGCTCCCGTTATACCCGCGCCAGCAGGTTCCTCCACTAGGTAAGTGGAATCGAGATCATTTTTTTTCCAAATTTTATTTCCTCTCTTTCTAAAATGTGCAATTAATTTTGCAAAAAAAAATCTCCTCTCTTCAAAAATATCTTCTTCTCAAAAATTATAAATAACATTTCTCTTGATTCTTCTCTGTAAACAAATAATTGGCTCTACAAAAAAAAAACAATTGGCTATTAACAAAAAAAAAATAACAATAACAATAGAAAAATGTAATTTTTCAAGAATTGAAAAATTATTTTATAATTATTTTGTCTCGATAATGACACAGAGGTCAGTACCTGCTGAAGCGGCGGCAGCTGTTCAAATTTGGGATGCGGGGGAGCGAAGCCGGATGCTTTACTTGGCCAAGAGGCCTTGCAGTTGGGCCGGATAATTCCATCGTCGTGGCCGATAGTTCGAATCATCGTGTTCAGGTAAATGGGAACTTTTTCACTTCCCTGGAATTCCAAAAATTCTGTAAACTAAACATTTTTTTAAAAAACATTTTAAACATCAATAAAAAATTAAACTATTAAAAACTAATGAATTAATATATAAAGGCTAATATAAATGTTCAAAGAGTAATATTTAAAAACTAATAAATGTTCAAAGACTACTAATATTTAAAAACTAATAAATATTCAAAAACCAATTAATATTGAGAAGCTAATTAACAATAACAATTAACTATAATAAATAAAACTAATCGATCTAAAATAATTGTTCATTTAAATTTACTTTTATTTTCATTTAAAATTTCCATTTTTTGAATTTTTATTTAACGAAATTATTAATTTTCCTATTTTATCATTTTTTGTTTTTGAACTTCGTATAAACAAAATATTATCATTCAACTTGAATTTTCATCTAATACAATTTTTACTCGGTCAAATTTTTAATTATCGCTTTTTTTAAATTAAAATTCAAGGTTAATTAGAAATTCGCTTTAGAAAAATTCTTTAACGTAAAAATTCGCTTTTTGTCAAAATTACTTCGATTAAATAAAAATTCGATTTTGGTAAAATGAAATTAAATTTAAATAAAAATTCTTTGGTGTAAAAATTTGCTTCTCTTAAAATGAAATTCGATTAAATAAAAATTCTTTGATGTAACATTCTTCCCCTAAATTCAATTATTTTCAAAAATTTTAATAAAATTCTTCAAAGAATTCAATTATCTTGATAAATATTAAAATTCTTTGCAGAAATTCAATTATTTTCAGGAAATTTGATAAAATTCTTTGACAAATTGAATTATTTTAATAAATAACAATATTTATCACAAGAATTGTTTGTTGATAAAATTATTCTTTATGAGAATTTTATTTTAAGAAACATTTAATTATTCAATAAATTATTTATTCTTATATTTAAATAATTGAATTCTCGTAGAATTTTCTAAAAAAAATTGAATTAAAAATGAATTTTAGTTAAAGTTTTAGAAAATAATTGAATATTAAAAGCATCATAGCATGAATTTTTAGAAATAATTGAATTTTGAAACGGTTTCAAATTAAAATCTTTGAAAATTTGAATTTTTCATAATTTTAACTAAAAATTCTGTAGAATTAATTTTTTTTGAAAAAGTTTAATTGAATTTTTTTAAAAATTATTTGAGGTTTTAATTTTCTAATATACCTATATTTAATTGAAGAATTTCCGAATAATCAAAATTTCGTAAATTGAATTATAAACAAATGGATTTGAAAATTCTCAAAGAACTTTTTCAAAAATTATTCAAAATAATTGATTTAAAGAAGAATTTTAGTTAAAAATTCCAGAAAGTAATAATTGAATTGAAATGATGAAAATATTTTTAAAGAATTTATTATTATTTCTTAGTATTATTCTTTGAATTTGAAATTTTTGAAAATCTTAATTACTATAGAAAAATAATAATGATTGAATATTTATTTAAAAAAGGAAGTAATTGAAGTTTTCGAATAATTTTACAATTAAAGAAATTCGTAAAATAAATATAATAGAACATTTTTTTGAGTATCAAATCATTTTTAGAGTGATTTAAAATATTTGTAACGGCCAGGAAAAAAGTCAAAATTTTGTCTAAATATCAGGCAAAAGAAAAATTCATTTTTTCTATCAACCCTGAATTAAATAAAAATTCTTTCTTTTGTGTAAAAATTCAATTTTGTTAAAATGAAATTCGATTAAATTAAAATTCCCAATTTACTTTTGAAAAAAAGAATATTTTGTCACTATAATTTTTTTTGTAATAATAAAATAAATATACCAACGAAAAATTGTTCCCAAAGGTTTTCGACGGAAACGGAAACTTCATGAAGGAGTTTGGAATGTATGGAAGCGGAGAAGGTCAATTTGACTGTTTGGCAGGAGTTGCGGTTAATAGAATCGGTCAATTCATTATTGCCGATCGTTATAATCATCGTATTCAAGTCTTGGATCCATCGGGTCGTTTTCTGCGAGCTTTCGGTTCTCAAGGAACGGCCGACGGACGATTCAATTATCCCTGGGGTATAACCACCGACGCCCTTGGATTTATTTACGTGTGCGACAAGGAAAATCATCGTGTCCAAGTAAGCTTCTTGAAACAAACAAAAAATTTCAAAATTAAAATAATATTAATTGTGAAAAAGAATGAAAAAATAAAACAGAATAGAACAAAATAAAAAAGAATGAAACAAAATAAAAAAAATAGAAAAATATTTAAATATATTAATTATATTAATTACTTGAATTTGGAAATAAATTGATTTTACTAGAAAGTGTAGAATAAATATTTAATTTTCATTACCAGGTTTTCCAATCGGACGGGACGTTTGTCGGGAAATTTGGATCCTGTGGAAGTGGTCGTGGTCAATTGGAACATCCACACTATATTGCAGTGAGCAATACAAATCGAGTGATTGTCAGCGACAGTAATAATCATCGTGTTCAAATATTTGATGTCAATGGACGTGTTTTGACGGCATTTGGATCGGAAGGCTCCGACGAGGGACAATTTAAATTTCCTCGCGGTGTTGCAGTCGACGATCAGGGCTACATTATTGTCGCCGATTCGGGCAATAATCGTATACAAATTTTCACTCCGGAAGGCATTTTCCTCAGGGCTTTTGGCAATTGGGGCAGTGGCGATGGCGAATTCAAGGGACTCGAGGGTGTTGCTGTTACTTCAGCTGGCAATATTGTTGTCTGCGATCGTGAAAATCATCGTGTCCAAGTATTCTGACAGTTTTCTCAAGTCTGAAAATTTTTATTCAATTCGACAAAATAGAGGGAAAGAAAGTGAGAAGAAATTATTCTTCTCTTTTCTTTCCTATTCATTTTTTTCTCTCCTGGTGATGGGCTTTTCTAAAAAAGAAATTTTTTTTATAATTAAATTCAAATATTTTCACTTTGCTTGCCTATTAAAAATTAAATAATTGCAGAAATTTTAAAAAAGCTTTAAAAAGTTTGAACAAATTTTGAAAAAACATTTGAAAAACATTTTTTATATTTCGAATTTTAAGGCGTTAATAAATTTAAAGATCTTTTGATACTTCAGTAGAAAAAATTGAATTTGAAATCAAGAGATTGTATCTATTGTATCGAATTTTTGATAATTAAGTTCCAACGTTTACAAATCAAAATATTTAGAAAAGTGATTTTAGAAAATTATTAAAAATTCATTAAATATTTTTTACTTTACCTTTTAATATTTAACTGTAAAAAATTACCTTTTGATTTCACGTGACGATAAAAATTATTTTCTCACTTTTCTCAGAGAATATTTTTTCTAAATAACGAATCGCACTTTCCTTCTTATTTCCAACGAAAATAGAACGAAAAGTGTTGGAAAAATTCTCTTAAATACCAAATTATTCAATTTCTATAAATAAATAAAAAAAAACTCTTTAAATTTTAATTCAAGAATTCGAAAAAAGGAAGTAAATTAAAATATAATTAAATATAAGATTAAATATTTTTATAAAAATATTGAACGACTAAAACAATAAGTGTGAATATTAATTTTCCGTAAGTAGAAGGAGAAAAAAACGCCGCAAAGTGGACAGATCTAGTCAAGAAAAAAATTTAAAATGCGACACGTAAAAAATAATTAACAAAAATTAATTCAATTATTATATATATGAAAAACTCTTTTATCCAAACCAGTTAAATGTAATTTAAAGTACCGTGAACTCCTGCATATACGTAAAATAATCAAGTAACTTAATTTAATTTGTATTCAATTTGCCAACACACTTCGTTTGTACCATTTGTAACATGCTTTAAATAAATTGTTGCAAAAGAAAATTTTATTTTGAAAGTTCTTTTCGCCTCAGTCTCAAAAAAAACAATATTTTTAATATAAATAATTCTTTCGAATAATAATAATAATAATAATAATAATACCACTGAATTATATAAGATTTATAAAATTTTATTCTGAATTAAATTTTAGAAAATAAAATTTGAAATTCTATTCTGCATTAAATTTTATAAAGTAAATTTTGTAATTCTTTTCTATATTAAATTTTAGAAAATAAATTTTAAGATTCTATTCTAAAATAAATTTTTGGAAAATAAATGTCAAATTATGCTTTTAAAAGTAAAACTTTAAAGTAAAAGAGAGGTAAAATTGAAAAGATGAATAAGTCAATAAATATATAATTTATTAAATGCAATGATGAAATGGTGTAACAATGGGAACCAGGTGACCGGAAATCGCTCGATTTCCAAAAAGACCACCAATTAATTAATTTGGTGCCCCCACCAAAGCCCCCGGATCGGAAATATAGATAAAATATTTTCGTTATTTACAATATTAGTTGAACGTTAGTCAATAAATAATAAATAGTGGTATAGTCATTGATTTAATTATAATACTTTTATATAATAATAATAACCATAATAATAATAATTAATAATAATAATTAATATTACGTTTGCGATAATAAAAATATTACAAGAGATGGAGCCTGTATCGTTATTCGTTACACTAACATAGCGTTTAAATGTGACTCGCTCTCTTCGCATCGAAATTCGCCTGTGGCTTTTTTTTTAAATATTTTTCTTTTTTTTTTTTTAACTTTCGAGGACGTCCATGAGTTTTTCTTTATTTTACTTTTGTCTTTCTTTCTCTCTGTTTTTTTTTGTTTACATTCTCATAAAAAATGAGAAGGTCTTCTTTTTGTAAATAATTAAAATCTAAATTTTTTTTTTGCGACTTCGACTTATCGCGCGAATTTCAAGACGAAGAAACAATGTCAATGGGAAAAAAGTGTCGAAATGGTCACCGAATAATATATATAGTTTTTTAAATCTTTTTCTTCTCTGCCCTTAAGACTGAGTCGTTAAAGGTGCCAATGATATTAAATATACTAGTATAAAAATTTTTATATTTTCTTCAAGAAGCCTTACTCTCTATTTAAGTATTTATTATGAATTAAGAAATCTATTATGTTTCTTTCTTTGGAAATTAGAAAATATTTTTTTTTTCGGGAAAAAAGAGTTCGTTTATGAACTATTTTCCGCATTTAGATTGCCTCGAGTGGACGTGATTGAATATTATCAGTGCCTTAAAAAGACTAGAAAATTCAGGGCGAGAACTTGAAAAAAATATTTAAATTAATTTTTAAATACTGAGAGGAAAGTTGAGAAGAAACTTGACAAAAATTAAATTAATAATCCTTCTTCTAAACTTTCTTCGATTCTTACTAAGAGATCTTAAAAATTAAAAATATAAAAAGAAAGATAAAAAAAGTAGAAAATAAAAATACGTTTCCACTTACCTAGTGGTAAATTTTTTACAGAAAGTGAATTAAAAATTCAGTATACAAATAAATTACATTAAGAATTTAATTATTCTACAAAATTTTCCTATAATTAATTAATTTCGATTTACTTTTTAAAATTAATTTATTTCTTTTAGGAAAACTATTTTCTATTATTAAAAATGTCGAGAAAAAATATTCTCTGAAATTCCGACAAAAAATCGGGACGATTTCGACACTCGCAATAATTTATTATTATTTTTTTTTTCATTGAAAATTGGACATATTTGAAGATTCGAATCTATTTTGGATTATTGATTTTCGACTCGAAGAAGTAAAATATGTAGTTTGTCGCTAATTCTACAAATATTGTTCTCGTTCTGAATTCTAAAAAGTAGTTGAAAATTGGCGCGACACATTTTATTAATATCGTTTATAATCATCATCGACCTCACAATTGGTTTATTTATTTTTCTTTTAAATCGAGTAGTAATAAAGTATTTTCATTTTCTTTTTATTTATTTTTTTTGTTTAATAATTAAAGTGGCAGCAATTAGGCCATGCGGCTCCTATCATCTAGTCGTCTTTGACTCTTGGCTTTTTTTTAAATGTAGATTTAAAAATGTCTTTAGTCAATAGATTTATGGTTGAGAATAATTTGCTTTGTTTTTTTTTGGGTTTTTTCTTTTTTTAAAGTGATTTTTTAAAGAGTTTTTTTATGTACCTCGAAGCGCCTAGACTAGCGATTTTTTTGTTGTTGTAATTATTAATTAATAGTAAAGAAGTGAGTCTCCTCTCTCGCTCTCTATTCAATTATATTCCTGCCTCGCAAAAATTACTTTATCCCATTCTATATTCTTTTTTTTTTGTTACTAAAAAATACTACTCAATATTTTCTCTTCATTTTCTAAAACGAAAAATTCTTCGCGATATTTCCGAATTAATTTTCTTTTTATGGGAAAATTAGGAAATATGACGTTGAATGAATCGTGAGGACGCAAGTCTTAGGAAAAAAGTTTTTTTTTGTTTGCTACGAATTATTAAACCGGGCAGAAGTCTGATATTTTTTTTTTTAAATCTAGCGAAGTACAGTTTGGCGCTGCGCGCTTCGATGATTCGATAATATAAATTTTATTGGTTTTTTAAAATTTTTTTTCTATATATATTTATATAAGATAATAAGAAATGTAAAATTTTTTCAATTTGATTGCCACTGAGCGCGCGATACGCGCCCGGCAAACTGCACCTTACTACAAAAAATCGTTTCCACCTTCGTCCCTGTTTTCATCCTCTAAATCGCTATTTTTTTTCTTCATCTTCAATTTTTTTAATTCCTTAATTACGCGATAAGCAAAAATATGAATATAATAATAGTTTTTATATAATAGTATTGCTTATTTACTCGTCTCGTTTTTTAAGTATCGATATAAGATCGTGAATAATTAATTAACAATGATTGAGAAAGAGTTACCATCATCGTCCTTTCTTTAAAAGAAAACAAATTTTTTTTTTCATTTTCTTTGTTTTTTTTCTCATTTAATAACTAATAATTCATTTAATTAAGCTTAAGTGGCATAAAATGCTCGTTGGAATTGACTCGTGTTTACATTTCTCCACTCACTCGCGACCATCATCTTCCTATCGATTTCTTTATCCCGCTATGCGCGGTAATCGAAAATCTTTTTTTTCTTTTGTCATCAAAAAAGAATCGTGACAGAATGAAATAATTTTCGAAAAATCGACAAATGGAATCAACAGACTTAATTATTTTGACAAAATATTTCTAACTTAACATATTTTTATTCTATATTTTCGAACAAGGAAAAAATCAACGAAATATTTATAATATTCTCTTGATTATACAATTAAATATATTTATAAAAAAAAAATTGTACACCGATCATCGATTACCTTCGAACAGCAAATTTCGGAAAAAAGTTATACCAACAAGTAAACTTCGAAATGTCTCGAAAAATTAGAATCGACTCATCGAAGACTTATTCCTCCCTTAAACCAATGTCGAAACTTTGGAAATACTTTCTTGAATCACCACAGATTTATCACAATATATATAATATATTTTTTATTTATTTTTTTTTAACCAACAGGAACGCGGGGCCCTCGCCTTTGCCCCTTTGGTAATTATTATTGCATCCTCAGTGCATTTTTCCCCTAAAATACTAAAGAGCCTTTAAAAAATCCCCTACTGGAGAGAAACTGTTAGATAATCGATAACAATGCAATTGCCTAATTGTTCTTTTTTACAATTTCTAAAATACCTTCTATTTTTTATAAGAAAAATTGATTATACCGTGACTTGAAAAGCACAGCCCGTGGATCAAAAAGGGGTCCAATCAAAGAGCTCTCTTTGCCCCAAATTTAAAAATTATTCTTATTAAGTTTTTTTTCTAAAAATTTCACTAGGATTAGAAAATAAAAAAAAAACCTCAGTCATTTAAAAGCGATTCTCTTAAATGCAATTTTCTCTAAATCTCGGGATCGAAATCTTAAATTTAGGAACATTTGTTTTTTTAAGAAAGTCAAAAACTATAAACTTTTTGACTTTGAAATTTGAAAGTTTTTTAAACACTAAAAAGTAGATAAAAATTTTCAATTTATTCAACACTGGAAGTGAATATTCATTAATTGAAATTTTCAATTATTAAATTTAAAATCATTTAAACTTCAAAACGATTCGAAATATAGCTATTCAATATAAAAAATTCTTTTAAATAAGAAATTCGAAAGGAAAGAAAAAATGTATTGATTTTATTTAAATTGAATTCCTAACTATAAATTATTAAAAGAATTCAAGAGAAAGGATATTTTTTCTTAAAAAAAATTAAATTCTTGCGTCACAAGAGAATTCAATTTTACACTGAATTTAAATTTTCAACTCCCTGAACTTCATTTCTCTGTCTCCAATGCCTATTTGGAAAAATTTCATACCTTTGTGAAAGAGAATCCGTGAAAACAATTTTTCAACAACATAAAGAAATTAATTTTAAATTTATACATTTTTTTTAGCTTTTTAGAAATTTTTTTTTAATCTCGATACATGAGAATTGAAACGAATATTTATATTTTTTTCTAGTTTACTTATACATTAAGAAATGCGAAAAAATTTATCTCTCTGAAATAATGAACGAAAAATTCACGAATCAGTCCAAAAATACATGTTTGAGCTTTTTTTTTCTTTTGTTTAAATATCAGGACAAAAGCTCGTCGTTTCAATTAACACTGATCCATTCTATCGCGAAACTACTCGTAGGAATTAGCACAAAAGCTGTTGCCAAGATGTAAAAAAAAATTTATATATTTTTCACCAAAGAATCGTAAAGTTGAGAATAGATTAAAAAATTTTTTTTTATTATTATTTAAATTGTTTTTTTCTTCTTTTTTTTTAAACAACTCGGCAACATCTGGAAATATCGTTTATTCAGTTTTTTTTCTCTAACTTTTTTTCAGTACAGCCACCACGAATTTAGTGTCGCGCTCTATTTTTTTTTTTTATTAAAAAGGCGCTTGCAAAAAAGATTCATTTACATTTTATATAGCACCATTGACAATGGATATTAAAAATTTCACGAAACTGTAAAATTTCTTTTTTCTCTCTAACATTAGGAATATCAGCTCCAATTAAATCTAAAAGCGAAAAATCTTGACTTTTAGATATATAAATATATATATTTACATATATATATTTTGCACTTATAGAATACTTTAAGGAAGCGTAATTTTTTTTTCTCTCGGAATCTTCACGATACAGAAAAAAGTGAATTAAAAATGAAATAAAATATTTTACGAAAAAATAAATAAGTATTTGGTGCCTTTTGATATTGAATTAATAAGTAAAAAAAATTGGAGGGAGAAAAAAAGGAGAAGAAATGCAATGGAAAATAATATAGAAAATATTTGCCATAGGAACAAGAAGCGTCCGGCAAAAAGGTACACGTGTATCGCACAACGAACCGTCTGTCTCGCGAGGCAGATAAAAAGAATGATCGCGTTGCTTTCAAAAAATACTGCGATCAACGCAATTAACAAATATAATTCTACTAAGATTAGGTATTCTCAAATTGGAATACTGAACACTGAATTAAGTTCACTTGCTGTGAAAAGCGAAAAATCTATAAGTAATCTAAGCCTATAATGCGAAAATTTCCCCCTTTTATTTAGGGCTTTCAATTTTTAAATTCATTTTCAAGAAAAAAGCGATGCGAAAAAAAGAAAATACCACAAAAAAAACTCGTGGTCTCTGTACAAAGATTTTCCTGCAAAATTTTTATTCACATCGACGCATCATAAAAGAAAATTGATGCGATACCTAGAGGACTATTATCATTAATAATCATTGATGAGAGAAGAACGCGTTTCCAGAATTAGGGGAAATTATTGGAAACACCTTGCATTTTATATATTATTAATTATAATAATTGTATAATAATTAATTATATTAATGCATTAAATAAGTGTTTGCTTCTGAAAGCCTATTAAGAAGACATGGATAAAAAATTTTAGAGTTTAAAATATTTTTTAACTTATTGCAACAGTATAAATGCTTCTGTTTTGTTTTTTTTTCTAAATAAGTAACGCGAGATGATGGGATACCCATATTTTTTTTCCTCAAGAAACAATATCACACATATTAAGTCTCTGTGTGTGTGTGTGTTTCCAGTATACTTCCGTTAATAACCGGAAATTGTTCTTCGTTATGGTAATATATTTATAATATGTATCACTTTAGCAAAAAAACCTACATGGGCCAATATCGTTCCTGTCGGGCATCATTTTTCCTTTCTTTCTTCCGTTCGCTGATAATTATTCACTGTGTGACCTTTGGGCTGGCGGCTACTAGGCTAGCCCCTGGGCTAGATAAGGGCGAGTTTTGGGGGGCAACAGCCCCCCGTAAAATGGGCACTGGCTGCCTCCCGTTCCCGTTTGCGGCGGCCCTGGCGTTCTGCAGTCTGAAAATTGGAAAGAAAATAATTATATTCTTCTCTTTTGCAATTCTTTAGAAATTTTTTAATTTATTTATTTAAATACGAAAACGTGATTATTTTCTTAAACTATTTTTGAAAATAATTTTTTGTTTAATTCACTTCTTTTTCAGAATTAAGTACCACGAAAATTTTAATTTGTTTCTCCCTGACTTTTTCCTGACAGAATTTAGACTCTTTCCCTGATTTCTATCAAAAAAATCCAAAAGGTGTTCAATTATAGAAAAAAATGATATTTAGAAGCAAATATTTAATTTAAAACTTTAAGGATGTCTATCTATTTTAAAAATGAAATTAGTTATTTTATTAAACTTCTCTCGATTTTCAAAGTTCAATTTAATTCTTAAAAATTCAATTATTTTTAATAAATTTTTAGAAAATTTCAATTATTTTTTTAATAAAATTTTAGGAAATTTTAATTATTTCGAAAAAATTTCAATTACTTGTTTAGAAAAATTCAATTATCTTTTAATAATAGAACTTAAATATTTTATAAGCACAATTATTCAGAATTTGAAATAAAATTTTCCAATACTTCAATTTTTAAAGAAAATTTTATATTTAAATCGTTTTAAAATTAACTAATTAATCAAAAATGTTATTTTAACGCATATTTAAATTAAATATTGATTTTGAAAAATATCTTTGTACTCCAAGAAAGAAAATTTTTGTAGTAATTCTAGATTTTGTTATTTTCCCAGTACTTTTGATAAAATTTCCTGATATTTCCCTGATTTCTCTGACCAATTTTATTTTTCCTGATTTCCCTGAACTGTAGCAGCCTCATTTTTCAATTCGATTATTTAGAATACTTTGTGTTTCAATGACTAATTTTTAAATTAAAATTTGTTTCTTTTATTTTGATAATCAATTTCCTAATTTACAAAATATAAATCTAAATAATTTTCCTTAAAAATTTTTCGTTTAAAAAATTTAGAAATTATATCTTCAGTCATATTTTATCTCACTTTTCAAAAATCATTTCAAAAAATATAAACAAAACCGTAAAAATTAGAAAAAGAATTCTTTTGCAAATAATTTTCGTAAGTTTACAGTCAATTTCCAAGTGTTAATAATAAATAATTACTTACCGGTCGGGAATCATCCCATGACAAGCTGCATTATTAGAACATACGATTTTCTTTAATATTTTAATTTCGAGAATTTTAATTTTCTTTTCTTCTATAAAATAGAAAAAAAAAATTTCCATTGCCAAAAAACTTACTTGACTTTGGATTGTCGCATAAATTGTTGAATTTTCCGAGCAGCTTGATGAGCGGCTTGTTGATGAACGGCTTGCTGTCTTGAAACTGATGATCCAGGACGTGCACGATAATTTCTGTAGTTACTTTGAATCACCAAAGCGGCCTTCGTTGCTTGTCTGTGAAATTGAGAAAAAATCATGATTAAGGGAAATAAAGAAAAGAATTTTAAATACAAACGAAAGTTCCACTCTCTCTCTTTCTCTCACTCTCCCTTACCCTCTCCTTCCCTGTCTATCTTTCTCTCGAAGACACATTTAAATAACGTTTCCATTATGTACGATCCCGAGTACTTTTGGCTTAAGCTCGAGAAGTCGTATTAATTTAATGCCAGCTTAATTTCGTATTCAGGCCATTGCGGGAAGAAACGAAGGGAAGTCCGTATAAAGTTTCCGAATTATTTACGATGCCAATTAAAAGTTCCCGCTCTCTCTTTCTGTCTTTCTCTCTCTCTTTCTCTCTCTTACTCTTACTCTCTCTTTCTCTCTTCATGGTTTGAAGTTACTTGAACTTTAACTCCAAATCGAGTCGACCATTGGATCGTTAGGATGTTTTAAGTAGCGAGACACGCCAATGTCGACCTCGTCTAATTATGATTTATATTCAGATTCATCTTGCTTCGTTCCACTGACATTCATGTCAACCATTATCACGATATCTCTGTATTTACTCTTGATTTTGTAAATTAATAGTCACGAGAGCTCATTTCAAATTTCCATGCGCAATTAATTCATTATGTGAAACATAAATCTGAACAAAATCTCGTTGTCACGTTTCATATTTACATGTGTAGTGTTAGAAATTATTATAAGTACATTAGTTTCTATTCTTTTGGACAAATCTCCGAAATCTCTATTTCTATCAAGAATTTCAAATTCTAACTGCTTTAAATTTGTTTAAAATTTTTATTTATCTGCATTTTTATCAAATTTCTATTTATTTTTATCAAGAGAATTAAAAATTTTATCTAATTTTTTGCTTTTGAATTTTTCTTTATCTGTATTTTCCTCAAATCTTTATTTATTTCTAATTTTTTTGCTTTTGAATTTTAATACATCTGCATTTTCATCAAATTTCTATTTTCTATTTATATTCATTTATTTCTATCGAGAATTTCAACTAATTTTTTACTTTCGCATTTTTATTTACCTGCATTTTCATCAAATTTTTATTTTCTATTTATTTTAATTTATTTTTATCAAGAATTTCGAATTTTAATTGTTAATTTTTTTTTGCATTTAAATTTTTATTTATCTGCATTTTCATTGAAATTTGTAGAAATGAATTTCTATTTTCTACAAAAACGAATTTTCCAAATTCAATCTAATTTCTATAATTAAATTAATTTTTTATACAAATTTTCATTTAGTTCAATTTTTCTTCTTTGTAAGAATTAAATAATTGATTATTTCAGATTCAAAATTATAATAGGAAATAATATAAAAGCAATATTTTTAATTGGAAACAATTTAGTTAAATTGATTTTTGCAATTTTTTTAAATCTTCATAGCATTAAATTAGAATTACATTAATTTTAAAATTCAAATTTGAATTTTCTTGATAATTTTTCTTTTTAATGTTTTAAATCATTAAAGAGGTAAAATTTATCAATAAAATTAGGAAATAAAAAATAAACAGCTCATTACCGGAATACAACGATTATTAATATAGAAAGACTAGAAATTAGAGATTCAATCAATTTGTCCGAAAATAGCAAAAAAAAAAAAAAAAAAAAATTGTAAATTACCTGTAATAAGCACACTGCTTGTGACGACGATAATATTGTTGAATGAGAACGGCGGCGTGCCTCTCGGCCTCCTCTTGACGTTGACGTCCCTTATAACTCCTGTAAGCTTTTTGTATCATTCTCGCCGCCTGATAGAGTTCACGTTGCTCGCGATCCGATAATGTCAGTCTACTTAAATCAGCTTCGCTTCCATCTCCTGAACTTAAACTCCCACCGCAGCCATTAATTCCACATCCAAATTTCCTCTCTTGTCCATAACGATAATGGCCATTATGACCGTTGCCACCGTCGAGTTGCAATTGTAATTGTAAAAATTCACAAAAATCTGCAGTCGTCGGCGGTGGCGACGGTGAGTCCGGCGTTAAACAACTGCTCGAAGGACTTGATGGACTCGCATCGGCGTCCGCGTCCGAAACGGAGGCCGCACCGCCGCACTCCCGATACGAGTCAAACAATTTACCCGAGTCGAGTGGCTGAAAGAAATTTCCCAGTCATTAATTTTTCCATCTTTTCCATTTTCTTTTCTTCAAATTTATTTTTCAAACTAAATTAAAAATAGTCCATTTTACTTAAATTTATTTTTGAAACTAAATTAAAAATATAATTAAATTAAATTATTACTAAATTAGAAATAGTCGACTGTATTTAAATTTATTTTTCAAACTAAATTAAAAAACCGTCGATTTGATTTAAAACATTCATTTTATCTAAACTTATTTTTATTGAACTATAATCTGACTTTTACAGCAACGAAAAATTAATTTAATTTCTAAAATAACATTTTTTTGAAAAAAGAAATAAGAAAAATAAAATAAAAAGAAAGAAATGAGCGATGAGTACCATTTGTTCCATCAAGGCGTCCTCGAGAGGTGGTAAAGGTGGAGGTGGAGGTGGCGAAGATGGAGATGGAGGATCGGCCTCTGCTCTCTTGATCCTCTCCGGCAGGGCGGCTATAATTTGCTCGGCCAAAGTCAGCACTCTCGCGTCTTCCTCCCCTATAAAAAGTAAGCATGACCCTAGCCAAATTTACAACAACTACAAAAATTATATTAATATGTTTATATTTTTGTTATACAAAAGTGGAAGCGGTTACAAAGAACCGCTTAACTTCACACTGAGGCACAACACTCAAGAAAAGCTGTTAATGTGTTTATTTTTTTTTGCATCGTTATTTATTGTACAAGTGGCAACTCAACTCGCTTTTAAGAACACAAAAAAACAAATAACATCAAACAACTATTTTTTTTTGTTGCAGTTTATTAGTATTACAGCTCACACACCAGGTTGACCCAACTCGACTGAAGCTCCCTGTTCTTTTTTCTCTTTTTTTTTATTTTTTGCTGAAAAAATTAACGAGCAGTCCAACACCATTTGAAATTATCTTCTGGAGTTCTATTTTTTCCGTATCTTTATAATTTTTTATATATTAGAATTGTAAGATATAATTAGAATCCAATAACAAAATTGTTTTATTCATTTATTCAAATTCTTGCTATAAAATTTTCTGTGACAGAAATAATAATTATAATCATAATAAATATAATTAAAGAAGCTTTTTTAAAATTATTCAAAATTCTGCTATAAAATTATTTGTATCTGTTTTTCTACATTAATTAAATAATAAATTGTTTTCGTATAGTTTTTTTATTAATAAAAATTTCTTACTTTTTTGGAGTTGATTAAATTTTATTTGAGTTATTCAGTATTATTTTTCTAAAATTTCTCAAACAATGAAATTAATTTTAAAAATTGTAATAAAATTCTAGGAAGAGTTCAATTATTCCCAAAATTTTTTTTATAAAATTCAATAATCAAATTTTGAATTTCAATTATTGACAAACACAATTAGTTTAAAAAATTTTAAAAAAATGTTTATATAGTTTAATTACTTTGAAAGATTTCAAATTAAAATTATTAAAAAAAATACAATATTTTCAAAAAATTCATTAAGAAACGTTAATTTATTTCGAAAACTCTAATAAAATTATTTTCTTAAACAATAAATTTCTTTGCACGAATTTAATTATTTTCAGTACAATTTTTACAAAATTTCTCAAAAGAATTGAATTATTTTTTAAAATTTGATAAAGTTCTTCGCAAAAATTCAATTATTTTGAAAAATATTAATTTAATTCTTTATGAGAATTGAAATATTTTCAATAAAATTTTAATTAAATTCCTTGAAAAAATTCAATTATTTTCTAAAATTTTAATTAAATTCTTAGAAAAATTTCAATTATTTTCATAATTTATAGAATTTTTCGGAAAAATTTTGATAAATTCATTGCAAAACTTTTTTATTTTGAAATTTTTAATAAAATTCTTCATAAAAAAAAATTTCATTAAATACTTTGAAAAACTTCTTTTCCTAAACACTAACATTTTTTGCGAAAATTCTATTATTTTGAAACAGTTTTGTAAAATTCTTTATAAAAATTCACTTAATTTTAATAGGATTTTAATGAAATTTTTACAAAAATCGACCAAGATTTCAATTATTGTCAAAAATTATTAATAACAACATTAAAATTCTAGTAAAGTTTTCCAAAGAATTCAATTATTTCCAAAACTTTTTAATAAAATTCAATAATTAAATTTCTAATTACAATTATTAAAAAAACACAATTATTTTAAAAAGAAAGAAATGTTTTGTATAATTCAATTACTGGAAAAATTTGTAATTAAAATTATTAAAAAATTTACATTATTTCATAAAAATTTTTAAATTTCTTCAAAGGAACGAAATTTTTAGTAAAATTCAATTCTAAAATTTTAATTAAAATTATTAAATAAAACTATTATTTACAAAAAAATCCAAAGAAATTCTTTAAAACAGTCCAATAATTTAAAATAATTCCTCGCTAGATTTTAATCACTTTTTAAAATATTAATAAATAAAAAATTGAATTATTTTCAATATATAAGTAATTTTAATAAAATTTAATTTTAAAATAAAATATTTTTTTCAAAAATATTAAATTTCTTCGAAAGAATTAAATTATTTCCTCAATTAGAAAAACTTGAAAAAAAGTTCTTAAAATTCAATTACTTTTAAAATTTAAAATTGAAATTATTTTTAGATATCACTTATAATAATCATTATTCTTGTAGTTTTTTTATGAATAAAAATTTCCAATTTTTCAAAATTTGATTAAAAATAATAAAACTTTATAAGGAAGTAAATGAAAAAGAGTTTTCTCCACGGAAAAAAAGACTCCAGTAAATAATATCCGACTAAAGAGGCACATCTGCAAAAGGAATAAGAAGTATACGTACCGCGGTATCAAACGCAATTGGTACAACAAAACATCCAACAGAAATAGGAATGCTAGTATAGAAATTGTTAGTATACAGTTAACAATGGTTCGGGTGACTAAAAGAGTCAATTAGGGACACTTTACAAAGAGCGTATTATTTTGTTTTTAGTATTTTTTTTTTCTAAACCAATGCCAAGCAACACCAATATACTGCCGAAGCTGCAAGTTTTTTCAATTATTTTAGAAAAAGGTATTATCTGGGATTTGTGAGAAAATGAGATTTTATATACACAATATTCTCCTTGAAATACACACGTGGGATTTAAACTACAAAACTCTACATTTACACGCTTTGGATTAAAAACATTTTTTTTTTTGTTTTATTATTTTGGTTAGTTGGTGATTTATTTAAGAGCGTGTTTTTTTTAAAGAGCAGTAACACTTTATACAAGAGACAGGCAGACAGACAAATAAGACATTAGAAGGGGAACGAGCTAAGTACGGACCTCGAGGGTTCGGGACAGTCTCCATTCCCTGGTGGCCGAGACCTAAGGACGATTCATCCTCTTGCAACAAATCCATGTCATCTAGGAGCGGGGAACCACCTGTGTTTTTCGATAAACCCCTTAATTGCCACGCTCCTTCTTTTTCTTAACTTATTAACGGAATAACTACTAGTTTTTGTTTAACAAAGAGAGAGAGAGAGAGAGATAGAGAGAAACAGAGAGAGATAGAGAGAGAGAAAGGAAAGCGGATGTGCTTGGGTCTAGTGTGTAAGTGTAAGTGTATTTTTTCTTTTTTTTGTAAAATATAGTGTGCACCTGGAGTTTTTTTTTGTTGTTCAATTTATAAAAAATAAAGCGAAACTAACACAGAGCCAAATCGAGACCGCTATCTTGAGATGGCCTCCTAGGAATAGGGCTGGCGGGCCGCAAAAATAGTCTCTCATCTTGTCTCCTAGCCTCCAAGCGATTGAGCTCTTCGGCGATCGCCGTGTGACCGTTCTCCGCAGCCAATTCGGTGGCACTCCTGTTCTGACAATCTCTCACACGCAGCGCCATTGCGTTCCATCTGGACAAATGACACAATAACCGTCTTAACTTGACGCGGACGATGATTCAATTTTTTTGCCCGTGCTCGCGGTTGTCATCCGTGTTTGCCAAATTATTATTTTCATTTTACTTTTTTTTTCTTTTTGTTTTGTCGTCCTCTTTTTCACAAAAAACCTTCTGCCTAATCTTTCTTTTTTGAGACGAAGAGAATTGGGGGGGGGGAAATGATTTTCAGAGGCGGGGAAAAATAATCCTGAGGCGAAGAAAAGAAAATATAATTCTAAGGCGGAAGAAGGAAAAAAAAGGCGGATGAAGGAAAAAATAGGCAGAAGTCGGAAAAAACAGGCGGAAGAAGGAAAAACCGGCGGAAAAGGAAAAAAATAAGTTTGAGGCGTAAAGGGGAGAATAATGTTTGATGGAAAAAAGAAAGTATAGGCAGTAGATTAATGTTGAATCGAGTGATTATTCTTCTTTTTTGAGAGAGAGAGAATTACCCACCGATAAAGTATTCTGGCTGTATCGGCGTGTCCGGCAGCGCACGCCCAAGCGAGAGGCGTTAATCCAGCGGCGTCCTGACGCAGAGCATCGACTTCGGCGTCCAAAACACTGCTCGGATTTTCGGCTCTCCAGTGCAAAAGAGCGCAGGCCAATCTCGAGTAACCTAGACCCGCTGCCAAATGGAGAAGTGTCGGTCCTCCGGATTGAAGTGGCTCCGCTCCTGTGCGCCATGGCCTCACAACAGCGTCCTAAAGATTCATTTTTTCCTCTCATTCTCTATTCTAATATTTAATTCCATAAAATTGCCTGATGTCTACATTTTATTGTTATAAATACTTTCAATTTCTTTTAGTCTACTTAATTTATTTGGTTTACTTCATTTATTTAGTTTACTCAATTTATTTATAGTTCAATTATAGTATTTACCATATTTATACTATTTATACACAGTTGCCACAAAAATTTAATTTTGTTTCTCCTTGACTGTTCCCTGATTTCAGAGACAAATTTTTGACTTTTTCCCTGACCCTAATGAATTTTCTGATTCACTCTAAAAATGATTAGAACTCAAAAAACTGTTTTATCACATTTACGAATTTTCACATATATTACGAATTTTTCTAATTGTAAAATTATTTGACAACATCAATAAATTCTTTTTTAAATAAATACTTAATCATTATTATTAATCCATAGGAATAAATAATTATCAAAAAAATTCAAATTCAAACCTTTATGAAATTCAACAACTTATAAGAATATCTTCAAGTTTTAAAATAATTTAAATTTCCATAAAATTTAAAAAAAAAATTTAATTATTTACAAAAGTTTTAATAAAATTCGTTGTAGGAATTTTCAAAAATTTTCTCAAAGTATTCTTTTACATTTCACAAATAATAAAATTCTACGCTAAAATTCAAATATTTTCAAAATCTACAATTTTAATAAAATTTCTCAAAAGAATTCAATTATTTTCATAAATAATAAAATTTTTCAGAGGATTTCAATTATTTTTAATACAATTTTAAGCAAATTTCTTCGAAAAATGTAATTATTTTCAAAAATTTTTTCCAAGAATTCAATTACATTTCACAAATAATAAAATTCTTCGCTGAAATTCAAAAATTTTCAAAATCTACTATTTTAATAAAATTTCTCAAAAGAATTCAATTATTTTCATAAATAATAAAATTCTTTATTACAAGATTTCAATTATTTAAGAGAAATTTAATAAAATTCGTTACAAAAGTTAAATTATTTTCGTAAATAATAAAATTCTTCACAGGATTTCAATTATTTAAAAAAATGTAATAAAAATTCTTTGCAAGAATTCAATTATTCTCCTAAATAATAAAATTATTCATAGGATTTCAATTATTTTTAATACAATTTTAAGTAAATTCCTTCGAAAAATATAATTATTTTCAAAATTTTTATTAAAATTTTTCGAAAGAATTCAATTATTCATTATTAATTTTTTAAAATAATTTTTGCAAAAGTTCCTTTTCAATTATTCGGAAATTCCTCAATTAAATATTTAGTAAATAAAAACTTGAAATAATTTTTTAAAAAATTCAATTAAACTTTTTCAATAAAATTAATTCTACAGAATTATCAGTTAAAAGTATGAAGAATTCGAATTTTCAAAGATTTAAATTTGAAACCTTTTCAAAATTCAATTTTTTTTTTAAATTCATGTTTATAATGCTTTTAATAATCAATTATAATCTAAAATTTTAACTGAAATTCATTTCTAAAACAATTTTTATTAAAAAATTCTACGAGAATTCAATTATTTAAATACAAAATAAATAATTTATTGAATTATTGAATGTTTGTTAAAATTGAATTCCCATAAAGAATTTCATTAACAAATTTTTAAATAATTGAATTTTTTCGACGAATTTTAATAATAATAATAATAATAATAATTGGATTAAAATTGTAGATTAGGTTAGATTTATTCTCTATTGTACGCTTACAGTTTTTACAGTTTTTAGAATTTCTATTCATCGCATAACTGACTAAAATTGTATTAAAAATAATTGAAATTCTATGATGAGTTTTATTATTCATGAAAATAATTGAATCTCTGTAAAAAAATGTTATTATTTATGAAAATAATTTAATGTTTGCTTAGAATTTTGGCAACATTTTTTTTAAACAATTAAATTCTTTTAAAAAATTTGATTAAAATAGTAACAATTGAAAATCATGAAATTGGGGAAAATTGTTGAAAATAATTGAATTTTGGAGAAGAATTTTATTATTTTCAAAAATAATTGAAATTTTGACGAGAATTTTTAAAAATTTTGGAAAAAATTGAATTTTTGCGAAGAATTTTATTACTTTTAAAAATAATTGAATTTTTGCAATCATTTGTTACTTTTCAAAAATTCAATAAAAATTCAATTCAAATTCAATTCAATTCTTTAATAAAACTCCTAGACTTTTCCCTGAACTGTGGCAACTCTGTTATAGTATTTAAAATATTTATAGAATTTATAGTATTTATAATTTATAATATTATTTTTTGTATTGTCAGTACCTGACAATAGGCGACGAGTCGCTCCTCGAGATGAGCAGCCGGCGACGATGGACCGGGTCCCTGAAGACGAGCCTCAACATCGGCGAGACGATCGAGAAGCGCTTTCTCGGGACTCGGTTCGGAAGTCGGCGGTTTTCGGTATTCAAAAGCGACACTGTCGGACACGACGAAACCATCGCAGGCAACTTGAAGCGAAGCTATTCCCGGTGCATGAGCGGGACATCGGCATCGCAATACACCTGGTTGAACGAGACAGGCTTCCACTGGTTCGGCGTCAAAAAGTATCGAGTACGACTGCGAACTACTGCCACCGGTCCAGGGTCCCGCCACCAGCACCTTTTTGACAAAAAGAGAAATTTTTTTTTACTCAAACATAATTATTTAAATAATTTAAATATAATTGATAAACAGAATAATGATACATTATTTTTCTAATTATTTATTAATAGAAGAATAGAATTTTATTTCTTCATGATAAAAATTAATTACAACAAATCCGAGTAAACAAAAATTATTTTTTAATAAAAATTCCATATTTCAAAATATTTCCATATTTCTTCTTTCGAAGAATTTTATTAAAATTAAATAAAAATTTTATTAAATAAATAAATTTTATAAATTACTAATAAATAGAATTTAATTAAATTAAATTAATTCGTTTCGTTTGTTTAGTTTTTATAATAATAAAAAATTGATGATAATAATAATAATTCCAATAAATAAATAGAATTCAATCTATATTGACAACAATTATCGTGAAATATCCCCAACAATTACGAATACCTTATTTACATATTTATTTTATAATATTGCGAGTTTCTATAGAGTCGAAAAAATCGAATTCAATGGGGCTGAAAGAGCAAGAGAGTCATTTGGACCAGAAATCGAGGTCCTGACATACGATCAGTTCGCCATGCCAAGGATTGAAAATTGGTCCGTTTTAACGACCCTATAGTTCACTATTCGTATTTCCAATAATCGACTACAAGCGAATGCGAATATAATGATCGTTGGTCTTGAAATCAAAGACTAACGGATTTCAAACATTTCAAATTCCACCTTTTTCCAGAGATACAGTGAGAATAATAATTTTGGTTTAATTAAAATTTTAATCAACTGAATTTATTTAAGAAAATTTTTATTTAAAGGATGTTTTATTTTTAAAAATTTTCATTTTCTCGAATTTTTATGTTAAGATAAGTTTTTATAAAAGAAAATTGTTATCGAATAAGATTTGTGTTTTAAAAATTTAAATCTAATTGAATTATTTAAGAAAATTCTTATTTTACGGTATTTTTATTCAAGAAAAATTTTACCTACACAAATATTTAAATAATGAAGTCAATTTTTATCGAATGGAATTTTTATCAAAGAAACTTTCTATTGAATAAACATTTTGATTTGAAAAAATTTAAATCTAATCGAATTATTATAGAAAATTATTATCTAATGGATTTTTTATTCAAAAAAATTTTCATCGAATGAAATTTTCGTTTAAAAAAATTTTTACATGCTCGAATTTTTATTTTAACTAATTTTTTGTCTAACAGAATTTGATTACTTCTTTTCAATTTCAACTTGATAATTTAAAACTTATTGGATCGAATATTGTTTGATATAAAAATTTTCCTATTCAAGTAAATAATAATAAATATTATTAAGATAAGTCTAATATTTAAATAAAAAATTAAAAAGCAATTATTTAAATCGAGAATATTTTTTTCGTAGAATGATTAACAAAGCTGAAAACTGATATTTCAGAATATTTTATAGAATTCTTGCTAAATTCTATTTCTTCTTCTCGTCAAAAATTAATACCCACTTTCATTAAAAATGTACTATATCTAAGTTTGAAATCTCTAAGAAGTTAATTTATCTAAATTAGTTGAGAAGAATTTTTAACTCTTCATACTTCAATATGAACTTATATAACTATTTCTTTTGAATTACTTCACTAATTTAAATTTAGACCTATTAGAAAATTCATCCAAATAAAAAACTAGAGTTTATTCAACAAATAGAAATTATTTAATATAAAAATAAGTTTTAGACACTTTTTAAATTTCCAAAAATTATTCATTAATTCGGGAAAAATAACAAAATTTAATCCGAAATTCTCGTAAATTTGTTAATTTAGAATGTAAAATATTTCTAGTTGGAAATTCAGAAAGTCTGGTTTTCGACAAAAAGAAAGAAAAAAAAGAGGAAGAATAGAAATACGGGAAAAAGAGAATAAAATCTGTCTTTACAGTAAAAAAAATCGCCTTATCGCCTCCCTCGGTGTAAAGCTAATAAAATTCATACAAGAATTTTCTTAAAAATTTTGAAAATAATTTAAATTGTTTTCAATTTTAATTTAATTCAATTCTAATGAAAATAATTGAATTCTTATAAAGAATTGTATCAAAATTTATAAAATCAATCAAATACTTTTGACAAATTTTATCCAAATATTTAATAAAAATTGAATTCTGGCCGAAAATTTTATTAAAATTTTTTTTAATAATGAAATTCTTTTAAGAAATTTACTTGAAATTGTATTGAAAGTATTGTAATTCTTATAAAGAGTTTTATCAAAATTTTTGAAAATAATTGATTTTTTGTCAAAAATTTTATAAAAATTTCTGAAAAGAATTTAATTTATACGAAAAAATTTATTATTTATGAAAATTAATAATTGAAATCTTGTAAAAAATTCTTCTGAAACTTTTTGAAAATAATTGAATTTCTTCGAAGAATTCTAATATATTTACGAAAATAATTGAATTATATCGAAAATTTTATTAAAATAGTAATAAAAATGAATCCTTTCAAAGAATTTTATTAAAATTTCTAAAAATAATTGAATTACTAAGAAGAATTTTATTATTGATGAAAATAATTGAATTTTTACGAAGAATTTTATTAAAATGCAGTAAAATTTATGAATATAATTGAATTGTTTTGAGAAATTTTATTAAAATAATATTTAGAAATTTGAATCATTATTTGTGATAAAAATTGAATTCTTGAGACGAATTTTATTATTTACGAAAATAATTTAATCTATTTGAAGGAAATTCAAATTATTTGAAGGAATTTAGCGAAACTTCTAATGAAAATAATTAAATTATTCTAAAGAATTTTATGAAAATTCTTAAAAATAATTGAATTACTAAGAAAAATTCTATTTTTTTGAAAAGAATTGAATTTTTGCCGAGAATTTTATTATTTCTGAAAATAATTGAATTATTACAAGAATTTTATTTATATTTTAGAGAATAATTGAATTCTTGCAAAGAATTTTATTATTTATGAAAATAATTGAATTCTTGCAGAGAATTTTATTATTTTTGAAAATAATTGAATTATTACAAGAATTTCATTTATATTTTAGAAAATAATTGAATTCTTGCCGAGAATTTTATTATTTATGAAAATAATATAATTATTTTGAAAGAAATTCAAATTATGTCACGGAATTTATTTTAAATTCGAATTAAAATTATTGAATTCTTATAAAGAATTGAATCATTATTTTTGGAAGTAATTGAATAATTCGTACAAGAATTTTATTGAAATATTAGATAATAATTTAATTGTTTTCAAGGAAATTAAAAATATTTCAAGGAATTCAGCAAAAATTCTAATGAAAATAATTGAATTATTTTAAAGAATTTTATTAAAATTTTTTTAAATAATTGAAGTCTTAAGAAGAATTCTATTATTTACGAAAATAATTTAATTCTTGCCGAGAATTTAATTATTTTCGAAAATAATTGAATTTTTACAAGAATTTTATTTATATTTTAGAAGATAATTGAATTCTTGCAAAGAATTTTATTATTTACGAAAAAAATTGAATTCTTGTGTCGAATTTGATTATTTATGAAAATAATTGAATCAATTTAATGAATTTTATAAAAAATTTAAAAAAAATAATTAATAATAGAAATATGGAAAAAATACCTTGACGCCTCCCTCGGTGTAGCTCCATTCAGGACTATATTCAGCAATATGGACGGTGGTACCAGGATGACAAGCATTGTCATTATCCGCACTCCTCTCCTCAGCCTTGCAATGCTCCGATGTATCGAAGTCATGCAACTCGGGCAAGTCCCCAAAGACATCGAATGCATCAAGATTGACCAGAACATCGTCAGGCGAATCAATAAAGTCCATTGGATTGATAATACTATTATCGGCGGGCGAAGGTGATGGCGATGGTGGCACCATATTTGCCGATAAAGTCCGTTGAATATCCTCCTGACTGAGATCGAGTGTCTCCGCAAAGTCAGTAACACCAGCCGATCCGCTGCCAGGCGTTGAGAGCGTTTGAACACTCGCACAATCAATATTGTCCTTAACATCGATCTCCTGTTGTGTTTGTTGCTCACGATCGACACCAATTTGTTGAACGATTTTTTGTTCCTGTACTTGCTGCATTTCCACTTGATTCGATTGTGCCGCTGATTGTTGCTGTTGTTGTTGCTGCTGCTGTTGTTGTTGTTGCTGTTGTTGTTGTTGTTGTTGTTGATGATGATATGGTTGACTATTTAGAATAAGGAGTCCTCCGCCTCCTTGAATTTGTTGCAGACTTAATACTAATGGAGCCGATTGCTGACTCTGAGTTGAATGGGAATGTCTCGAGTATACGCGAGGAGCCGTCGACGCCGTTGAGGTTGGTTGTTGACCTCCGGTTGTCGATGAGACCTTCAGTAATAAATAAGTAAAGATATAATTATATTTAGTTGTTGGTTGGCCTACAGGTTGTCGACAAGACCTTTTGTAATAAATAATAAGTAAATAAAGAGTCAATTTCGACAAAATAATTTTTTCTCTCGGTTTTTTTCCTATAGTCGAGGAATTATAAATTGGAGACATTAAATTAGATAAAAATTATTAAATAAAATAAAACTAATTGAATAATAAGTAAATTTCGATAACATAATTTCCTTTCTGTTGTTTTACATAAATATTTAGAAATAATATTTATATTGCGTTAATATGTGGATTTATTTTAATAAAATAGAATTTATTTCATTGTTGTTACAATTAATTGTTCTAGGATTTTTTTAATTTTAAAAGATGACATTTTAGATAAAAATATGTTATCCTCAATTTTTTAATTTTCATAAATCAGAATCAAAAATAATAATTTAATTCTTGCATAGAATACATAAAGTTTTACTAAAGTCTTTGAAAAAATTCTAGTGATTCGAAGAATTTTATTAAAAACTTTTGAAAATAATTGAATTCTTTGAAGAATTTTAAAACTCATAAAAATAATTCAATTCTTGCGACGAATTTTATTGAAATTTTTGAAATAATTTTTTTTTAATAATTCAATTCTATTCAAAATTTTTATTGAAATTGTTTTGAAAATAATTTAATTCTTAATAAATGATTTCAAATTTTTTAAAAATAATTTAATTCGTTACAAGAATCACATTAAATTTTTTTTAAATAATTGAATTCCTTCGAAGAATTTTATTATTATATTGTATCAAAATTTTTGAAATTAATTGAAATCTTACAATATTTTTATTGGAATATTTGATAATAATTTAATAGTTTTCAAGGAAATTAAAAAAAATATTTTAAGGAATTTAGTGAAAATTCTAATGAAAATAATTGAATTATTCTTAAGAATTTTATGAAAATTTTAAAAAATATTTAAATTACTAAGAAAAATCCCCATTATTTATGAAAATGTTATTAAAATTTCTGAAAAAATTAAATTTATACGCAGAAATTTATTATTTATGAAAATAAGTGAATTCTTGTAAAGAATTTTTTTAAAATTTTTGAAAATAATTGAATTCCTTCGAAAAATTCTAATGATTACGAAAATAATTGTATTATATCGAAATTTTATTAAAATAGTATTAAAAATAAATGTTCTCAAAGAATTTTATTAAAATTTTTGAAAATAATTGAATTACTAGGAACAATTCTATTATTTATGAAAAAAAATTGATTTTTTGAGAAGAATTTTATTAAAATTAAGTAAAATTTTTGAATACAATTCAATTATTTTGAAAAATGTTATTAAAATAATATTTAGAAAATTGAATCATTATCTTAAAGAATTTTATTAAAATTTTTGAAAATAATTTAATTCTTTTTAATTTTAATTTAAGTTTAGTCAAAATTATTGAATTTTTACAAAGAATTTGAATCAAAATTAAAAAAAAATAATTTAATTCTTTCCACGAAGTTTATCAAAATTTCAGAAAATAATTTAATTCTTTCAAGGAATTTTGTTATAATTTTTAAAAATGATTGAATTCCTCCCAGAAATTTTATTATTCATGAAAGTACCTATTTGAATTCTTACAAGAATTTTATTTAAATTTTTAAAAGTAATTGATATCTTACAAGAATTTTATTAAAATTTTTAATGAAAATAATTGAATTCTTTTGAGGAATTTTATTAAAATGTTTGAACATAATTTAATTGTTTTTAATTTTAATTTAATCAAAATTTAATTTTTACAAAGAATTTGTATCAAAACTAAAAAAAAAATAACTGAATTCTTTCCACGAATTTTATCAAAAGTTGAGAAAATAATTTAATTCTTTCAAGGAATTTTGTTATAATTTTTAAAAATGATTGAATTTGTTCAAAGAATTTTATTATTCATGAAAGTATTTGAATTCTTACAAGAATTTTATTTAAATTTTTGTTGAAAATAATTGAATTCTTAAGAAAAATTGTATTATTTATGAAAAAAATTGAATTCTTTTGAGGAATTTTATTAAAATTATTCAAAATGATAAATAATAATAGTCAATTATTTAATAACTGAATTTTTTAAATTTTGAATCAAAATTCATTCGAAAATTGAAATTCATATTTGAAAATAAAAAATTGAAATTTGGATATCAATAATAATGAAATAATAAGTAAATTTCGTTTAAGTGAGAAATTAGTAAAAATCAATAAAAATTAATAAAAATAAATTAAAATAAGTAAAAATGAATAAAAATAAATAAGAATAAATTAAAAAGAATTAAAACAAATAAATTGACCAAAAATACGTGAAAATAATGAAATGACAAGCAAATATCGACAAAATAATTTTTTTTCTCCGCTGATTTTTTTTTTAATGCATCCAGTCGATGAATTGGTGTAAAATGGAGAAGAAATAAAAAAACCTGATTGTCAGGGGTGAGTCTCCTGGGAGCGATTTGAGCACTGGTGGTTGTAGAGGCTGACGAAGCCCGCTGTCTATCTAATAATTGTGAGACAATCATATCCACTGGATGATTTGAGTTTTGCGAGAGATGTGGATTTATTGGATCGTCATCACCGCCAAGGAACATTGGCCTCAATTGCGATGCCAATTCATCCCGTGTCCATTCTTTTTTATCCGGTGGTAATGCAAGGCATGGCGGTAAAGCGGCCAGTTTCGCGTCACCATCAGGATAAGGAACATTGAGATAATGAACGAGAACAACGTCCGGATTTTGTAGAAGCCAATAGCAACGTCGATGAAACGTTGGCAATATCGCTGAATGCACATAGCAGCCGTAAATACATTCCACTCCTTGGACCTGATGACAGAAAAAATTCACGAAAATCAGAATTATTATATTTTATTTAGAAACAATCGAGGAAAAAAATTCTTCACAAAAAAGAAATAAAAAAAAATCTTGAGTTTGTTTAAAAATAAATGATTAAAAAATGTCCCAAAAATTATAAACGTTCTAATGAAAGAAAAGATATTTTTTCAAATTCGAATTTTTTAAAATATTAATAATAAAAATAATAATAATAATAATAATAATAATAATAAATGGAAAAAATTAAACAGAAATTAAAAAAAATTTCTGCTTAGAAAAAAATAATTTATTTTTCAAAATATTTTTATTTTGTTTTCGATTTTTATTCCATTGAGTAATTTTTGAAAATATTTATATATTGAAAAAATATTTTGTTCAGTACAGAATTTTTTGAACGTGGAAAAAATTATGAAACAGAGAAAAATTATTTAGAAACGAGATTTTAAATATTTTTTTTTGTTCATTTTTTTCCAGTGCACACGCTTTACCTTTAGTTTCATGTGATCCTCTCTCGTCGTTTTTCCGTCTTTTCTTTTCTTCCAACAATAACCATCGCGTCGATAGCGGACCTTTTTCCTTGAAAATAACAACATCGAACCACTTCTCGGTCTTACTTTTGCCTCTCGACTCTGCCATTCTGCGTGCCTTTGAAAATTTATCAAAATTGCCGCAATTTCCTGTAACAAAAGGAGAGAAAAAAATGTTTTTACTATTCACCCTTTTTTTCGATTATTAAATTTTTAATTCTATGTATTTAAATTTTTTTTCTTTTCTACTATTATTATTATTTATTGAAAAACAATTTTTTGTCCTTTTTGTCAATGAAATGAAATTTCATTTTTGAGAGCAAATCAAAAATTTACTTTTGAGCAAAGAAAATGAAATTTTACTTTTTATAATAAAATAAAATTTCATATTTGTGCCTTTAAAAAATGAATTTAAAAATGTTTTGATAAAATTCTTTATGAGACTTCAATTTTAAGAAATTTTAATTATTCAATAAACTATTTATTTTTGCATTTAAATTATTGAATTATCTAATAAAAATTTATTTAAAAATGCATTTCAGTTAAAGTTTTACATAATAATTAAATATTGAAAGCATTATAGCATGAATTTTAAGAAATAATTAAATTTTAAAATGGTTTCAAATTAAATTCTTTGAAAATTTTTGTATTTTTCATACTTATAACTAACAATTCTGTAGAATTAATTATTTTAAAAAAGTTTAATTGAATTTTTTTCTGAAATTATTTGAAGTGATTGATGTTTTCAAATAATTTTAGAATTAAAGAAACTCGTAAATAAATGTAATGGAGCATTTTTTTGGTTTATCTAATCATTTTTAGAGTGAATCAGAATATTCTTTAGGGTCTGGGAAGAAGTCAAAATTTTGTCAAGTAATTAAGTTTTTCATATTAAAAAAAAAGAAAATATTTTGTAGGATTTACATTTGTTAATTATCTAAAATGTTTGTTACAAAATGCTAATTTTTTAGAAACAAAGGAAATAATGAATAATATAATTTTTTTAGATTAATAAAAATATTTTTGAATTATTTGAGAAATAAAAATAATATTATTAAATTAATGATATAATAAAAAATAAAGAAACATAATATTATCTGTCAAAAACTCAAAGCGTATAAAAAACAAAAGCATGAAAAGAATTGAATTCTTTTCAAAACAAATTTTATAACGAATTAGGAAAAAAATTGATTTAATTTGAAGAATTTTATTAAACACTTTTGAAAATAATTTATTCAATTCTTGCGATGAATTTTATTGAAATTTTTGAAATGCTTATTTTTTTTAAATAATTAAATTCTATTCAACAATTTTATTAAAATTGTATTTTGAGAATAATTTTTGAATTCTTATGAAGCTCTTTATTATTTGTAAAAATAATTAAAAAAGGTTTGTAAAAATACAAATTAAATTGTTTAGAAAAAAATTTAAATTCTTTCGAGAGATTATAAATTAAATTTGTATTAAAATTTATTGAATTCTTCCAAAAAATGATAGGTATCAACATTTTTAAAAGTAATATAATTGTTTTGAGGGAAGTTAAAATTATTTCAAGGCAATTATTAAAATACACTCAAAAAAAAAACTAGTAGATTTGACTACTTTTTAACTACCCTGAGTGATTCAATAGGTCCTCAACTGAATTTAAAAATTTATATTTACTACCGAAAGTAGTAAAAAGAACTAAGAATTTAGTTGATGTAATTAGATTTTGTAGTTGTTTTTGCAATTTAACTACTTTTTTTAGTTATATAAACTATTATTCTTCAACTATATTCAAAGTAGTAAAATCAACTACACAAAAATTGTTAGTAAAACTAAAAAAGTAATTAATTTGACAACTTTCAACTCAACTAGGTAATAGTAGTTAAAGATTTCGACCGAATTTTTTTCAGTGTACTAATAAAAATAATTAAATACTCTACAAGAATCACATTAAAATTTTTAAAAATAATTGAATTCTTCCGAAAAATTTTATTATTTTTAAAAATAATTGAATTCCTATCAAGAATTATGTTAAAATTATTGAAAATATAAACAATACTAATTAATTATGTACTTATAAGTGAATTTAAAAATTTTGATTATGAAATTATTCAAATATTTTTAAAAAAAGAATTTTTTAATTTGCATAATAATAATAAATTGAACATCACGTTTTGGGCGTAACACTTTTTAGTTGAATAAATAAATACCTAAATAAAAATTAAAAAAAGAACATTGTAAATTCCTGACACGAAATTCGTCATTAAGATATAGGTACGGAATTGGTTGAAGGTTGTGAAGGGGGGGGGGATTTATATATGTCCCTGTGCCTTGGATTACGGTTTGGGATTGCTCAAGGCACGTGGTTGGTATTAGGAACGAAGCAATCATCCCTAATTTGTAATAGGTATCAACGGATAGCTATATTGGAAGGAACATGGCCACTGGTCATGTACAACCACGTGACTCCGAGCCAACTTAGTTGGGGAATCAGGGTATTGATTGGACAAGTGCAACCAGCCGAAACACGATTTCCCATTCATGCCAATTTCTCACACATTAGGAGGCATTAAATTTTCACCTCGAATGTGAAATTGAAAATTCCCTTCATTCCGGATAAATTCACTTCGAGAAATGCATCTAATTCGATAGATTGTTTACATTACATACATTATCTTTTGTTCTTCAAAAATTAATTATTAATATAATAAATTCTATTATTGAAAATAATAAATTTTAACGAAAAATTTCAATTTTATATTATTCAATTTTTAGTTTTAATTCCTTAGTAAAACTGTGATAGTTCGATAATAAAATCAATAAAATAGTTTAAGATAAAAAAAGAATTTAATGAAAAAAATAATTTAAAAGTAAAATAAAGTTTTATCCAAATAAACAAAAAATTTAAATAATAAATTCCAAAATATAAAATTCCGTCGACACGGGAATAAAGTCGAAGTTGAAATTTTTTTTCCCTTCTTTTTTGCGGTTGACATTTTGATCTCTAGAAAAGTGATTTTTTTCATCCTCTGCCTTCCACATTTTTTCTTATTTTCTTTTTTTTTTTTTTTTTTTTTGACTGAAATGAAAGTCGGTGTCATTTTTCAGGTCTAGTGGGGTAAAAAAAATAGCCTTGACGAAAAATATTCGCATACATTTCACACCTAATCCAAAAGAAAGTGGTAGAAGAAGAAGTTACATCACTCAACGAGGTTGGGATTTACAAAATATCAAAATGGATCTTTATAAAGCTCATGTGTCATGAGTTTTCACGAAAAGAAGATTCACTCAGGCTCTTGCCTATCCTATATCACTATAAGATTCACTCACTCACTCTCTACTCTTTGAAATTCGAGTTCAAGTGGAAACGAGATTTCCCTTGCCCTGGGGGTATTACAGCCTCTCAAGATTTAGTGTGTATATGCACATTCCAATGTATATCTTGATGCATTTCCAGTCGAATGTGAATTTTCAACGACAAATATTAACCAGACACTCTAATTCTCTCGTGAATTAAATTTATTTAGCTACCGAAATTTCCACTAACTCTTCCCTCAATAGACACCTTCCTCCGACAGGCGAATAAATGCGGCAAACTAAAAGGAGTTCTAGTTTTCAAAATAATATTCACATTTTCTTGAGGTTCTCTTTTTTTAAATAAATAAATAAATATTGAATTAATCTGTTTAATAAAAATTATCTGATACACACAGAAAAAATTCTATTTAAACCGAAAATAATATTAACATTTTCTTGAGGTTCTCTTTTTTTAAATAAATAAATAAATATTGAATTAATCTGTTAAATAAAAATTATCTGATACACCCAGAAAAAATTCTATTTAAACCGAAAATAATATTAACATTTTTTTTGAGTTTCTCTTTTTCTAAATAAAAAAATATTGAATTAATTTGTTGAATGAAAATTATTTGAGGTAGGGGGTCACTATTTCTAAAAAATATTTTCTAATCCTTTTTTGTCTAAAAAAAAAATTTCTAATAAAACCTGTTTTATAAAAAAAGTTTTGATCTCTAAAAAAAGTTTTTCTAAAAAGTTATGATTTCTAATATTTATTTTCCTAAAAATTTGTAAAATTCCATAATTTTGATAAAAGTTAGAAAATTGTTTAAAAAAAATTAAGATATTAGGAAATAGAAACTATTTTGCATATTTTTTGTTTCCTAATCACAATTTTATTTACAAAATGATAAGTTTCTTTTTAAAAAAGTAGAAAAAATTTTATAAAATTACTATTTCTTATCACAAAATTTGTAAATAAAATTCTGTTCTTCTTCGAAAAAAAATAATAATAATTTGCATTATTTTTATACAAAAATTTCCAAAATTAATTTATTTGTAAAACATTTTTTTAGAAAGTTTTTTTTTCTTTTATTAAAAAAGAAATTTTTCGAAAAAATACAAATTATGAAAATTTGTTAATTCTTTGAAAAAAAATACTTGAGATTTCGTTAAAAACCTTGTTAAAAAATAGAAATTATGCAAATTTTTTAACAAAAGTTTTAAATAATCTAGCTAAAAATCATAATGAACAAATAGAAATTATAGGGTTTTTTTCCAAAAGATATTTAAAATTTTCTAAAAAAATATTTTACAAATAAATTAATTTTGGAAATTTTGGTATAAAAATTAAGCAAATTATTATTTTATTTTTTCAAAGAAGAACAGAATTTTATTAAAAAATTGTGATAAGAAATAGGAATTTTATAAACAAATTTTTTTCTTTTTCAAAAATAAACTAATATGTTTGTAAACAAAATTTGTGATTGAGAAGCAGAAAACATGCAAAATAGTTTCTATTTCCTAATCTTAATTTTTGTTTTTAAATTATCTAACTTTTATCAAAATTATAGAAATTTACAAATTTTAGGAAAATAAATATTAGAAAAAAACTTGTTTAGAGTCCTGATTTAGACAAAAAAGTCTAAATTTAATTTTTAATAAAAAATATAATTTTTTCCAATATTTTTTAAAAATATTATATTGAAAAAAATTATATTATGCAAAAACTCGTCGTTTTTGCAATGCGCAAAAAAATTTTAGAGATTAAAAGTAAAATTGTCATAAACTTAGGAATGTCAGAGTAATAAAAAATCTTAAAGTTCTTAAAAAATTGATTACATTTTATGATAAACGTTTCATATATATTAGCATGTATTTTTCGATTTCAATATTATTGCAATAGTAACAAGTGTTGAACGAAAGTGTATTCGTAAGAAAACTAAACATGATGAATTATCGAAACAAATTTTTGACTGGGCTTGGTTTGATTTTGCTCCTGCTCGTCGGAAAAATTTCAATTTTTGATGTAGATAAAGTGGAGGAGAGTCGGGTAAGTTCACCCAAAAATTGTTAAAAAAGCAAAAATTCTATTTAAACATATGTTTATTCTTTATTTTAATTTCGAAAAAAAGATTACGAATCTGATGTTACTTTTTCAAAATTTAAAATCGCGAATCCAATACATAAATTTTCAAAAACTATCAGATTCGTAATCATCGACTCGAAAAAATTCCCGAATAAGAAATCTCTAACGAAATGTATTAAAATTTCAATAAATCGTCACCATTTTTGAATTTTGAAAAAGTAGCAAAAGATTTGTAAGCATTGACCCCAAAAACCCCCGAGTATCAAATTTTTTTTTAACGAATTAAAAAGAAATTCCGCTATATTGGATCTGCCATTTTGAATTTTGAAAAAAAGCAACAGATTAATAATAATCAGTGACTTTAAAAACCCCCGTGTATCAAATTTCAAGCTAATTCAACGAATTAAAAAAAAATTTCCGCCATATTGGATCCGCCATTTTAAATTTTGAAATAAGAACCTCGAATTCGTAATCGATAAAAATTTTTTATAAGAACATGATTGGTAAAATTTTCCTCCTTCTTTTTCGGGGTGTTAAAGGGATTTTATAATCTTTTAATTAATTTTAGTATTTAGTTCTAATAATAATTTGGTAAAGAATAATACTTTTAGTAATAAATAAACAATAAAATATGAAACAAAATTTTTTCAAAACTGCTTTTTCAAGTTTAGAATAATTTAAAAATATTTTTCTTATAAATGATTTCATACCTTATTCATATTTATATGTTACTTGCATATTGCATAATAATTGATAAGATTTAAAGTTTGAAAATAAAAGAAGCAATAAAAGAATTTTTTTTAATTTAAAAATTTTCTGTAAATGCGCAAAATAAATATTTATCAAGCAATCGTGAGAAGTTAATAATTTTCTTTTTAAAGAAAAAAAAAATAACTAAAAACAGCTGCCACGTTGAGTTTTTTCGTAAATCATTTTGATTTTTCTTCCTCATGGAGATAATAATAATAGAGATATATTAGTTAAAAAAATAATATAAAATTTTTTTTCTTTTTAAAATGGTTGATTGGTAATTCAGTCAATTTAATTGAAAGTTGAATATTATTTTTTTTAATTTTTATTTTATAATTTCTTATTTTTGCTATGAGAAAGCACTTAATTTTTTTTTTTATTATTGAATTTTGATATTAAGTACACTAATTGTTTTTAAAATAATAACTTTTCATAAATATATTAAAAAATGAGAGTAAAATTTGTTCCAATCAATGTATTATTAATTATTTTATAAGATGGGTATAATTAAACTATTATACCCATTTTATAAAATAATTAAAAATACATTGATTAGGAATAGTTAAGGAAAAGTTTTTAAATTAAAAAGTTCAGATAATTATATTTCAACAATATTTTATTTTTAAAATACTAATAATTTTGTAATTTCTTATCGAATTAGTTGGAAAAATAGATTGATCGGAGAATTTTTTAATACTGTACAAGTTGATTATAAAACTTAAAATTATTTATACATTTTTTAACAAAATTAAAACAATATTTTTCAAAATTTTAGATCTTTGAAACTTTAATAACTCCAGCTAACAATGGGCAAATAGTGTTCAATATAGGGGTTCAAAATATGCGTCTGAAAAAGTTCTACAAAATCAAAGAGAAACATTTATAGGTGTCCTAACATTTTTTTAAAGTTATGGCCAGAAAACTTTTTGATATAAAATTTAAAATTAAAAAAATATAGTTTAACTTCATAAAATGGGCTAAAAATACTTTCAGTTCATGTCCCTCGGGGAGACCTAAAATTAAAAAAAAAAATTCCTCTAAAGATACATCTTTAAAGGATGTTTCTCACAATGAGTATTTTACAGGTAGAAGAATTGGAAATCAAGCCACTCACGTTTGAAAATGATATCTGTTCCCTTTATGATATCTTTAAAGTAATTGATTCTATGCTTTTCGAAAGAAAGTACAAACCTTTGATAGTAATAATAGCAGCTAACTTGAGTATTGGTGTAAACAGAGTTAGAAATTTAAGTGGGAACAAAAGAATATTAAATGATGATGAGATCAAGAACAACCCTCATCACAGTCAGTTATATCAAACTATATTGGAAAATATTTATTTATTCCAAGCCAATGACAAATATTATTTTGTTTATCCATTAAACTTTCAACACCACTTTTTAACCATATATTCCCAAAGAAAGCTATTGAATAACAATTTAGGTATTACCTTCGATTTTGTTAATTTAAAAAAAAAGTTTCCATTTTTTGATGATATTTTCATTCCACTGGAACCAAGCTGCACCAATTGCCCTGTTGTAAAATATGTAAAAGAAAAACTACAGAAAGGTGAAAGCTTTTCAGAATTATTCCAGTTACGTAAAAAATTATTTAGAGAGAAACAAACAAAAAACTTATCCTTTACGCCATTCGATAATGATTACATTTGTACTTCGATGGGATTCAACATTAATTCTCAAAGCTCGAGTTCTTTAATGCGTTTTAATTCATTACTAGAACAAATTCAAAACAATAGCAAGAATGTAGAAAAAAGAAGAACTGTAGAACGAAGCCGAATGTGCTTTCAGTCAAGACAACTCAAAATTGCAGAAGATGTATTTTACGGAAATATGAAAAATCAACTTTATCTGAATGATATTATGGTTACGATTGATTACTTAAATTGGATTAATAACACTATATCTTCATTGAATGGCAGTGATATTTCATTTGGCGGTCTTTGTGAAAATGAACACAAAATAGGCATATTTAAATTATTTTGTTTTATGAAAGGAATATCAGATGTTACTTCTCACAACATAACAGAGTGGACAGTTGCCATAAAAAAACTTCTTACAAAATCATTGATAAGCAAACTACGTTGGTTTAACAGATTAATTTATTTGTATAAAAATGAATATACCATAAGCAAAAATTACACTTCCATGCTTGAATATCTTAAAGAAAAAATGCTAACTGTAAGCGAAAATTGGAGTAATGTAATGAATATTACATATAATATTGTTAAGGATTCTCTGGTAAGTTTTAAATTGCATTTTTCAAAATAAAACATTTTATGCTTTAGTAATCATTTTGTTTTTCTATAAAAATTTTTCTTTGTTTTCTTGTAAATTTTAATTTTAAACATGTTTTGTCTACAGAGAGTAAATAATCATTTTGATTATAATCTTGAGAATATTTCAATCTGCACTATTTACGAAAATTGGGAAACAATTGATGATCTACTCTTTGAGGCGAACTACAAGAGATTAGTGATAATCGTAGTAGATGACATAAAAAAAGGGATCAAAATTGCTAAACAAATAAGAGCTAGAAGAGTGGTACCAAATGTAAGGCAAAAAGATCTTCATTATTCAGAAAAGTTTCTGTACGATTTCATAATGAAACATATTTATTTGGTTGAATCCAATGATACTTATTATTATGTCTACCCAACGACCACTGATAGACAAGAAAACCCATTAATTATCTATTTGGAATATAAAATGATTACAGATTATTCAAATGTTATATTTTATTATGTAAATGCTGGGAAATATTTTCCTTTTGATGAACGACTTAATCTTGATGACAGTGATTTGGTTATTCCTGCGCTACCAGATTATTGTCGCATACCTTCAGGAAGGTGTAAGAAGCGCTACATAAATCCCTCATATTTAATAAAAGTAAATCAAGAGTTTTTAAAGCGCTTTCCAAAATATCTTCCTTTATATGCTTCCTTTTACAATAACTTGACAGAATTTACAAATAATTACGATTCCCACCATAAAGACAATTACTACTCTTCGTACCATCAAACATATTATGACTTTGCTAAAGAACAACAATTTACTTATGACATAATCTATAAATTTATAGATTTGCCATGCTTGTCGATGCAGAAATTAAATAACAGAACCGATATTAATTTTAGTATGACTAAATTTAGCGATGTTCTTTACTTTTATAAATTAATAACTTCAGCTTATGGAAACATAACATCATTAAATGATAGAAACAATACAAATTTAGAATTGCTTTGCAGTAATAAAGAAATTTTTAAATTTATTAAATTCTTTTGCTTTTTAAAAATAAATTATATTGAAGGCATGCTAAAAGTTATTGATCAGAAATCTTATAAAATTAGCTACATGAAAAGTATTGTTCAAAATGAGAAAAATACTGTAACCGAATATTTGTTAAAGACGAAGGATTGGATAGAGGAATTATTATCAATGCAACACCTTGATTATATGTATAATGAAATTCAACTGTTTATAAAATCAGACGCTCTTTATTCCGAAATACCAAAAATTATCTCAAATGGCACTGATTTGTCTGACAAAATCTATTCGATTGTTAAAAGCAGGTCGATTTCTATCTTATGCAAAACATCTCTAATTCGGAATTAGTGAAATTTTACTAATTCACCGAATTAGTAAACTATTTTTTTTTAACTATTTCAAGAATATAATTTAAATATTCCACAAAATTTATTTTTAAGGTAATTTTTGGTGAGGAATTTAATGGTCATAAAATAAAAAATTTCAATGGTCATACAAAAAAAATTGTTAAATGAAAAAATTCATTTTTATAATTTTTGATACATTTTCTGACCATTGAATTACTTAGAAAAAATTACATAAAAAATAATTTTGTGAAAAATTAAAAGATGAAAATTTTTATTAATCCTGTATGACTTAAAATTTACATTAACTACTGATATTAGAATTAGAGAAATTTTATTAACCCCGAATGATTTGAAATTTATATTTACTTCTAGTTTTGAAATTGAAAAGAATGTAAATAATTTTGTCCGACTATACATTGTCTCTACTACTTGAATTGTGATTTAAAAAATTGAAAAATTGAAGTTTATTAATTATTATAAATTAGTTAATTAGTAAATCGTTTACGTCTGACTATAAATTGTGTTTACTACTGATATTTTAGGCTTAGAGACATTTTATATTCTTGTATGATCTAAAATTTAAATCTAATATTAGATTTAGAGAAAATTGTCTAACGATTCTAATTCGAAAAAGTGTCTGACTTAAAATTTGTATTTACTACTGATATTGATAATAATAAAAAATTTATATTAATAAATAAATAATCGTTGTATTCTGGTTTTGTTACCTAACTTTTTTAATAATTTTTCTTCTTCAATGTTTAAAATTTTTAAATTAATGTACTGATACTTAATCATTGAATTCTTGTAAAGTATTTATAAAAAAATTTGAAAATAATTCAATTTTATGATGAATTTAATTATTTCCAATCATTGTAATAAAAATTTTCAAGTCAGTTTATAAATAATAAAAATCTTGGTAAAAAATTCAATTATTTTTATATAGATAATAAAATTCTTATTAGGATTTCACTTATTTTTAATAAAATTTTAATTAATTTTTTCGAAAATTTGAATTATTCTTAAAAACTTTGTGAAAATTCTACGAGAAAATGCAATTATTCTTAAAAATAATTGACTTTTTCACAGGAAATCAATTATTTAAAAAAAACTTATAATAAAATCCAATATTCAAGAATTCAATTATTTTTGAAAATAATGAAATTTTTGCTGGAATTCAATTATTTTAAATAAAATTTTAATTGAATTCCAGGAAAAATTATATTATTTTTAAACATTTTTTTTAAATTCTTCGAAAGAATTCAATAATATCAATAAATAGTAAATTTTTTTCAAAGGAATTAAATTATTTTAAGTACAATTTTAATAAAATTATTTTTATAAATTCACTTATTTTTTAAAATTTTACAAAAATTCAATTATTTGCAGAAATAATAAATTTTTTTGCCAGGGATTCAATGATTTAAAAAAATTAAGTATTAATTGTTTGGGAAAATTTTATTACAATTTTAAAAAATAATTGAACCTACTAGAGAAACTTTAGTAAAATTATCTTGAATATAATTGATTTTTCCCCCAGAAATTTAATTAAAATTGTATTGAAAATAATTGAATTTTTCCGAAGAATTTTATTATTTGGAAAAATAATTGAATTTTAGCCAAGAATTTTACAATTTTTAAAAATAATTTAATTATTTCGAAGAATTTTTTATTAGAATTGTGGAAAATAATTGAATTTTTATTAAAGCTCTTGAAAATAATTGAATTTCGTCGAAACATTTTATTATTTACAGAAATAATTGAATTTCTTTTTAGAATTTTATTATTTATAACAATGTTTTAATTCTTGCAAAGAATTTTCTTATTTATGAAAATAATTGAATTTTTTGAAGGATTTTTATTAAAAAATTTTGAAAATAACGATTTTTTCAAAAGAATTTCATCAAAATTGTATTGAAAATAATTGAATTTTTCCAAAGAATTTTATTATTTGTAAAAATAATTAAATTCTTGCCAAGAATTTTACAATTTATAAAAATAATTAAATTGTTTCGAAGAATTTTTTTATCAGATTTGTTGAAAATAATTGAATTTCTTTGTAGAATTTTATTATTTATAAAAATATTTTAATTCTTGCAAAGAATTTTTTTACTTATGAAAATAATTAAATTCTTGCAAAGGATTTTACAATTCATAAAAATAATTGAATTGTTTCGAAGGATATTATCTGATTTTTTGAAAATAATATAATTTTTTGAAGGAATTTTATTAAAAATTTTGAAAATAATGATTTTTTTATAAAAATTTCATTAAAATTGTTGAAAATAACTAAATTTATATTCAAATTCTTGAAATTTTTTAAAAATAATTTTATTCTTTCGAGAAATTTTATTAAAATTGTAGTGAAAATAATGTAATAAAAATTCACATTATAAATAATAAATAATATATAAAAAAATAAAAATAGTATTTAAAATAATTAAAAAATAATAATTAAAAATGTTTTTTATTTAATTAATTATTGTAATTTACTACCAGTGATAATTTTTTCCTCAGGGGTCTTTGTAGCCCCATACGAACTTTATATTTCGATAAATAAATAAATATATGGATAAATAAATAGAAATAAGTAAATCAATAAAAAAATAAATAAATACATTTATTTATAATTTAATCATTTATTTATGAAAAAAAATATCAAAGCAAATAAAATTTCTTTAAAACCAGAATTCTTCCAGCCCTCAGGGAAAATTAAATCTTTATTAATTCCCAGTTTTCGGAAACAAACACAAAATAAAGAGAAAACAAAAGAAAGAACTGAAAGGTGTGAAAACTGTAATTCGCGATTAATTAATAATTTTCTTCCTCTCTTTTTTTCTGGAGGGGTGGAAATATAACTGAAAAAGGCAAAATGAAGAAAAGAAGAGACGTGCTGAGAATGAAGAAGTCTCATTTTGTTGTTAGTTCGCTTGGACAGTCTCTGCGTCGTTGTTGGGGATGAGTCCTCGTACCTCCCCCTTTTTGTCTCGCCACTATACAATTCCCCTCTCATCCACCCCTTTTTCCTTCTCCCCCCCCCACACTCCCACCCATTCCAGAACATTGTAGAAAACGTGGCTTGAGTATAAATAATCTCAACGGGAGATGCAATGAAAAATGACGAGGAGAAAATAAAATACAAACGTCTTTTCCAACAAGGAAAAGCAGTAAAATGCAAAAAGCGACAAGCGCCTCTGCACAGCACATGTGTTTCGCACAATGGGAGACCAAACTCTCACACACACGTTTCGTTCGTCCACAAATTTTTAATTTTTTAATTCTTTTTCTTGTTTCTTGCTTTCTGTCGAACAAAATTGACACTAGGGGAAATATTTTAAATAAAGAATTTTTTTTATAAAGGTTTTCTTGAATGAGGCTTTCTTAAAAAATGTTTTTATTATTTTTAGTAATACTGTTATCTACTTATTTTAGTTAATATAATTTTTTACTATTTAATTTTTATTTATTAAAGAAGTAAAAAAATAAAAAATTTGTGGGCGAATTTATTATTATTATGCAAATTACATAATTTTTTATTCACAAATATGAATTTTTAACTAATTTCATATACAAACTTTAAAAAAATTCAATTAATAACTAATTTACTAATTAATTATTCTTGTTTTTATTACTTTAAAAAATTTAATAAAATTCTTTGCAAGAATTCAATTATTTTCATAAATAATATCATTCTACTTAAGAATTCAATTATTTTTATAAATAGTAAAAGTCTTTGCAAAAATTAAATTATTTTTAAACAAAATTTTAATGACATTTCACAAACACATACAATTATTTACCAAAATTTTATTAAATCCTTTGAAACATTTCAATTATTTTTTTTCAATTTTACTAACATTTCATGAAGAAATTTAATTATTTTTATAAATACATAGTAAAATTTTTTTGCAAAAATTAAATTATTTTTGAACAAAATTTTAATGACATTTTCACGAACGAATATAATTATTTTTTAAAACTTTAATAAATCTTTTAAAACATTTCAATTATTTTTTTTAATTGTAAAATCTTTGCAAAAATTCAATTATTTTTAAAAAAATTTCACGAATGAATTTTTTTTTCAAATTATACAAAATTTCAATAGAATTCAATTATATTCTAAAATTTTTGAAAATCTTCAAAAAATACAATTATTAAAAAAAAATTAAATTATATTTATAAATAGTAAAATTCGTAGCAAAAATTTAATTATTTTTAATACAATTTTATAAAATTTCATGAAAAATTCCATTTTTAAAAAATGTTTAATAATATTTTTCAAAAAATGCAATTATTTTCTAAAATTTTAATAGAATTCAAATCACAAATGAATAAATAAAATAAAATAAACTTAAATAAAAAAATAAAAACTTGTATGTTTATTAGAATATTTATTTTTTTTAAATGTGTTATTACACTATTTATTTACATAATCAAATTTTTAAATTAATTTCGTGATTGCATTAAAATATTAAATAAAATTTTTCTTTTTTTGGGAGAGGGAAATTATTATTCCTTTTTTTTTACTTCCCCCCAGTGATGATAATAATACTACTGGAATTTTCATATGAAAACCATTTGGAGTTATGCTGCTATTTTATGACCCATTAACTCCCATATGTAATACAAAGAACATCATGAATTTTTATTAATGTTGAACATTTCAGAAATGTTTCAAAATAAGGAGAATTCAAGCCCTCTTCCATCTTCCTCCGTTTTTTTCCTTATTTAAATATCTGTTAAAACAACTTTTAACTTGTATAGCTAGTATTTTTACTTTTTTGACTTTTCCCATCATATAATTGTGTACATTTTATATTTTTTATAAAAATTTTTTTTTTATTTCTTTATTTATACTATTACTTATTATTATTATTATTATTATTATTATTATTATTATTATTATTATTATTATTATTATTATTATTTTTACCATCTCTTAATTAATGTTTTTTTTATTTTTATTCTATGTTAATTTTTACTGCTATTTAAAAACACAACCGAAAGAGTAACGAATAAACTCTGTCTGACTAAAATCTAACTTCTTTTACTGTTATTAATTAAAATTTTCAGAAATACATTAATTTTGATATTAAAATTGAATTTATTAATTAGAAAAAATATTACCTAAATGCTAAGAACTTTATATAAACTTGCGCATAAACTTTGGGAAATAATAGTTATAGGTAAATGTGGAAGGGAAGATTGAAGTATCAAAATCCGATGGATTCGAATTTGAATGAATTTAGTTTAAGGGGACTTTTCGAGGACTTTAACGAACTTGTTCCATACAAGACTGACTACAAACTTGTATATACATATATGTATGCTGGAAAGAGAGACTTGAGAGTTGAATTCCACAAAACTTGAGTGTTATAGGGGGTGAACTTTTAAACACAGAACATTGACAAACTTCTCGGAATTTATAAAAGGCACTACCGAGTGCTTCATTAAGTCTAGAATTTTAGAGAATGCATGTCAAAAATTTAAAGAGACGCAAAAAAAAATTTCCATGAATTTAAAGAACAATTTTTAAATTTAAATAAATTTTAAATTAAAATTATTAAAATTTCTAATTTAATAGTATTATAATTTTTAAATTAATATTATTATAATTAAAATATAATAATATTAATAAATAATATTAATTATAAT